TGTACCTAGCTTCAGATCAGCCTAAAATGGCCCGATGGGGGATGTCTTCTAAAGTGGTGCTGTTACCTGAGGAATTAAGTACTCGGTATAATAGTTGCCCAGTGAAGATGATAGGACACAGACCCGAGATTAGTCTCATAAGAGGCAATGGGTGGTCTGGCCGTAAACACTAGCAAAGGAAAAGGATAAAATTACCACCATTCGATTCGTCTTAGTGAGACGATTCTAACAAGCTATGATACATCTTTGTACGATTATTAGATGCCAAGTTATTTAATATATTCTTTATATAACTGTGATTATAAACGGTTCTTTTTAATATAAGATTTTTGAGGATAGGTGTGATAGTGACTATAGATAGATTGTGACTATATAGGATAGATTTTAATAATAAAGTGTTTTGAACATTCAACTGGTGTGACTATATAGTAGAATGTGATTATAACGGGAGTGACTATAGAGGGAGTTGACTGTATTTCTATTTGTACACTACGCGTGTAAACATGAGTCACGTGATTATTGTCATTTCCGGTGATCTTCATAAAAAAAATCCTAATTTGGAAATTTGTATAACACAATTTCATTTTTACTGAGAAACAAAATTTCCTTTTTTGGATTATATAATGTTACTCTAATTTCCAAAATTGGAAATTACAGTAATTTTTTGCTGGAATTATTGGAATTATAAAATTTGGCCAAAATTATGGTGTATGATATATAATATGTGACAAATAAGGTTTTTTCTACCGAAAAAATTCTAAGTCCTTAGAATATAAAATAGTAAAAATGGAAAACTATAGGGGTGTGACATGGGTGACAAATTATAGTCATGTGATACGTATTTCGCACACTAGTGTACATTAAGAAATTATCTTTTAAAAAAGAGTAATTTTAATGCTCACCCCGGATGAAAATCACCAAATCACGTGACATCAAATTTTACGTTCCAAAAAAAAAAGTTTTTTTTTTCATTTTTAATATAAGAAATACACACATTATTTATGTAATAAAATGTATAAACAATAATTGATAAAGTAATTAATAAAGTAAACTGTTTTATTAGATAAAAACATGTTTGAATTATATTAAAATGCGTAATTATTTATAAAAACTGTGAATTACATTAAAATGAATGCGTAAAAATTATTCTACTGTTCTTTTCCAATCATCCACTCCTCTATTCTTCACTTCTTTATTTGATTTTTCGAATTAAAATTTGACATTATATGCACATGAGTAATCTTTAATGTTGATTATAAAAAAACTAAACTGTTTTTAAACCAATTAGATTAACCGTTAGTACAGTAAAAATCAAATAAAAAATTGCGTTCTTATGACATTTTAATAATAAAAACAGATTACAGAAGTATAATATACCTCTATATTAATCATTTTTCTTAGCATTTGGACATTTTTTCTGATAATGACCAGATTTTCCACATAATAAGCACTTTCGTTGACTTCTTATTTGATTATTAGGTTCATTTAAGTTTTCTTGCATCAGAACTTTCTTTTTTGATAATTCTATAGCATTCTTTAATCTCTTTTTTGAGGGTACTTCATGTATTTTAGTTACATTAGGATTAGTAACCTGTCCAATTAAATGTTATTGCAAAGGAATAATTTTATTGCTAACATCTTGTCCTAATAGTTGATCTGCTGTATAATCTAAAATATTGTTAGCATCATCACCTTCTGATTGTTTTTCATATTTGGCTGCAATAAAATCTTTCAATATCTTGATTAATTCTCCATCAGTTTTCGTATTCAAAGCAACATTTATTGCAGTTTTTGCTGTAGAAAATGCAACTCCAAATCGATTTCGTTTGGAATTATTTTGACGTGTGATTTTGTTATCCTTTACTCCTTGAAAATGATGTAAACTTTGAAGGGTAAAGTTATTTTGAAATGATGATGCTGTTGACATTGAAGTATCTGTAGATTCTATTGCAGAAAGAATTGGTGAATTTTCGAAATTGCAATCCAAATTAGTTATATGGGATCTTTGCAATAAAAAGGTATGAAACTCAAAAAAAATTAAAAATTGAATTAATATTAAATTTGCATTTATTTCAGTAAAAAAAAACATAATTAGCATATAAAGTAAAATTAAAATTTTTTTTGAGTTTCATACTTTTCTATTGCAAAGACCTCATATTATCTTTGTACTATCTGGCAGGTATAATGCCAATATGGAATTTTGCTGAACTTGAATACAACATAACCCTCCAAAAATAATGACAAATTACACCTTTTGTAACTGTTTCCATACAGGTGCAAAGGTGCGTTCCATCACTTAACAATACTACTAAATTTTCGCGTTGTGATATTCTACTTATACGACGTATTCTCCATGTTTCAATGACATTCTCAAATTCAATACCACTTAAAAGTGATCGTAATGTTACTTGTAGTTCATCAACTAGATTCTCTATAAAATCATTACTAGTGATATCAGATTTTATAACCTATATAATAAAATAATAAAAAAAATCAATTCTTCATATTAGTTAATTAAAAAATTGATTTTAATTACATAATTTGAAAAGTACAGTCAAACCTTGATATAGCGAACCCTTGATATAGTGAATTTTTCAGACAACTATAATAAATTTCCCCTTGCTATAACAAATTAACCAATCAAATCTCTTAAAATCTTCACTATAGCCCTATAGCGAAGTTGAGGTCTGGAATCTAGGGTTCGTTATAACAAGGGTTAACTGTAAGTTTATTACCTCAATAAAAGTTGATGATACTAGTTAACCTTTATATGTAAATGAAATTTGAAATCTTTGTCATGATAATATAAGAGGTGTTAAAAAATGATCAAGAATTGTATCAATATTAGAAAAAAATTGTGATGATAAATGATGAAGTCCAATAATTGTCTGACGGACCTTGAGATCAATTAGTTTGCAATACTGAGATTCACTTTCATGTCTTTTGTCATCAATTGCTTTCTCAACTTCACAAAGAATACTAGCACTATTTACAGCTTTTTTGATAATGGCATTGAAAAATTCAACACTTTGAGTACTTTGTACTCCTCTATTAAATTGGAATGGCAAATAGGATTTAGCCCAATTAAAACAATTTGGATACATTGTTTTAGTCATATAAGAATGACATTCCAGAAATGTATCTAACATATATTTTACTTTCGTTCAAATAATTCAATATTTAGTGCATTTCTACATGTATAGAATGCTTTACTAAAAGAATAAAAATTTTCATCTAATTTCACTTTGAGATGCTTCACAATGTTTTGCCATATATGAAAAATACAATAAAAGTGAGGTGTTAATGGAAAAACATGAGAGGCCGCATTAATTAGACTGGGTTTAGAATCAGTCCAAAATGATTTTGGAGGTATATTATTGGTTGCTTTCATTAAGCATTGTAAGATCCAAGTATATGTTGATGCCATCTCATTTTCTATAAGTGCATTTGCCACATTTCTGAATTTTCCATAATTATTTCTAATTATAATTGTTGGTCTTACATGTTAATAATACATCATGAAAACGGTGATACAAATCTTGCTGAGCGGGAAACATCCAGAAAATTCCTGATAACCATCATTCATTGCCAGAATGGCGAACAAATACTCTCCAATTTGGATCTTCAGTCATTTTTTCAAAAAGACTATTAAATAATAATCCAGAATCAAAATCTTCATCCTTAGTATTCTTATTTAAACTATAGATTGCATTATATACGTCTTGTTTGTAAAAAATATGTTGAGGATACTTTTTTTTTAATATTTCTAATTGTGTGATAGGTGCTACATTACAGCCTGTAAAAAAACTCAAATCTTGTATCATATTTTCGTTAAATTGTTGATATCTTGCATTATTAAGGTGAGCTATTTGAGTGGGATTTAATTCATGATTATGTAAATTTACCAATGTTGTACATCTTATTTGCTGCTCTGTTTTTGGTAATTTGAAGTTACAATGCCACTCACAACTTGTTTTATTAGAGTTTCGCAAACGATGTACAGTCAACCCTTGTTATAACGAACCCTAGGTTACAGACCTCAACTTCGCTATAGGGCTATAGTGAAGATTTTAAGAGATTTGATTGATTAATTCGTTATAGCAAGGGGAAATTTATTATAGTTGTCTGAAAAATTCACTATATCAAGGGTTCGCTATATCAAGGTTTGACTGTACATTCTGATTAATTCCTTTATGAGTTTCATAATTACCATCTAAAGAGCAACGAAATGATTTGTGACGTGTAATAGTATGATCATTTGGGTCCTTGTCATTACGATAAATCTGATACCTGAAGCCTCTTTCTAAGCAATATGCATTTATAAACTTATCAACAAATTCCCAATCATCAAAATTATCCCTAATACAAAGATTGTATTGATAAGTAGAACAGTTAAACGTGTTTGTATTAGAAGTGTTTGTATTATATATTATTAGTAAAAGGTTCTATAAGTTCTATTCCTAACTCGATAAAAGAATTATTAGAAGACATAATAATATCTTCTAACTCGCCAATAACAATTTCGGCACTTTTAGCAACTTCAGAATTTTCAACATTAAGGCTTTCAAAACTTTCAGTGAAAAAAGGCATAAAAACTTCCTTAATGTCTTTGGGAAAATTTATAAAGGACTCCCAGTCTATTTCCATTATGGTAAAGAACGAATATATGGTAAAGAGCGAACAACATTACAGTATTAATTCGCACTTTTAATAATACAAAAAAGTTTGTAAACAGAAGTTTGTACTGAAAATACGTAATACGTAATACAAATAAGGTGAAAATCACCTGAAGTGAAACAAAAATTAAAAATTATTAAATTCACCTTTGGTGAAAAATTACCTGAGGTGAAACAAAAATTAAAAAGTATTAAATTCACCGCCGATGAATAAAACATGAAAATTATTTAAAATCACCTTAGGTAATTAAAAATTTGAAATAACCTAGGGTGAATTTTAAATTAATTCTTTAAAAAAATATGTAAATTTTGTAATTAAAATTTACCAAATTTAATTTCCAAAGCTAAGAAAACTGATACCTATAAAAAAAAAAGAAAAAGTTAGAAAAGTTAAAACTTAATAAATTTTATAATGAAAATTATCAAATCCAATTTTTATGCTAAAGGAATTAATATTTATAAAAAAAAAGAAAAAGTTAGAAAATTAGTAAACCTACTGATACTTATAAAAAAAAAGAAGAATTATAAGATAAAGAAATAATTAATTAATTAAAATGTTAAAAAATAGTTTAATAAAAAAATTGAAAAATTGAAATATTAATAAATATTCTAATAAAAAAAAATAAAAAAAAAATAAAATATTTAAAAATATTTTATTTAAAAGTAAAATAAAAATAATATTAATATTTACATTAGAACTAATTTTTTAACAAAAAAAAAACAAAAAAATGTTTTTTATTATTAAAATTATTAAAAAACATTTTTTTTTAAGAAAGTTTCAAAATTTTTTAAAACTTTACTTGGAAAAATAGTATTTATGTTATAAATTACAAAAAAAAAATTTTTTTAGCTAAAATTGTTTTAAATGATATTCATACTAGAACTGATTGTTTATACAAAAAATCATAGGTAAAATACTGACTAATCAGGTATCTATTCAATTGGTAACTTTTTTTTAAAAAGTTAACTGATTTGTGATTTGTTCAATAATTAGAAATTGATGTACACTTCAGTTAGATATCAATCAGGTTATTACCTGATTGGTTTCTATTTTTTAGTTTAAATTTACCGATTAATTTCTATTATTCTATATATATTCTTATATAGTCAATTTATATTAGCATTAATTTTCTTATCTTTAAAAGAACTGTGATGTTATTTACAAATAAGAACTCATTCAACTCAGAAATTGTATTTGAATAGTTCTTAACTAGAAAAAATACTACCATCTGCTTGTTTAATAATAAATTTAAAATTAACTTCCAATTTTAATTTAGCATCACTCTTATTTTCAGTTTCTGAATTATTACATTTAGATTCACTTTGAATTATTATTGTAAAAACTTTGGAAGAGGTAGCTTCAAAATCAATTATTTTTGCAATATCAGTTTAGGACCTCGGATATCTCCAAAACAGGTTATAAGTCACACTTTTGGCAAATTGGCCCATTTTTCAAGGGCTTAAAAAATCATTTTTTGTAAATATCTTGGCATTCAGTAATCCAATTTTGATAAATTTTTTTTTTTAAATTGTAGAGCTAAATGAGGGTTACAAAATAAAAAAAGTTCATTATAGCCTTTATATTAGATATCCGGTATCCTATCAGTTTCTTTTATTTCTTTTATTCCTTTTATTCCGTTTTCTTTTGTATTTTCTATTCTTTCTGTTAAATTTGATTTATTAGAGAAGTTAGAATTTTTAAAAAACAAATATTAATAAGAACTATATATTGCATGTTGAGCAAATGATAATTGAATGTTTTTTTTAAAATCATATTCATATTGAAAGTATTTATTTTTACTTTTAATAGAGTTAAACATTCTTGGATATGCAGTTTTAACTTAAACTATTCTATTTATTCTAGTTATTTTAACTGTTTTTATACATTTATATACAGTCATCTTCCCATATAATCACACCTTTCGGGACCATAAAAAAATGGTATGACTATAAAAATAATATATGATGTGATTAAAGGGAAGGTTTTTTTAATAAGTTTATTAGTAACTTAGGATTAATGTAAATGTACTTATAAGGGAGTTGTGATTATACAGGGTATATGGGAGGACAACTGTATATTCTTTTCTAAGTTTATTCTGCAATATAAACATTTTTGACATCCAAAATACATTCCAATTTTATACTTTTTTTTCTTTTTTTTTCTCATTTTTTTCATGTCAAAAAATTGCAAAGCATGAAACTAAATTATTTAATTTATAAAATTTCAAATTTTATTAATTATTAATGTTGATTATCACGTGAAATGTGAAAACTGATTTCCTTAGCATCATGTAACTGAAAAATTGGCTGATCACATTAAATTGAAATTAATGATAATTGATAATTCTCATTACCTTGATTAAAATAAAAAAATCATTAAAATCAAATTGCTAAATCAAAAGTTATTGCAAAAAACATTTAGTTATTTACTGCAATTGATGATTTGCTGAATTATTATTAACTAATTATTAATTTTTACTACTATTTGGCAAATTTGGTAAAATTGTGTTGATTTATATAACCAATTGGTAAAATTTTACTAAATAATCTTAAAGGAATAATTTTTCATATAACAATTAATATAAGTTGATTTTTTATCAAAAGACTGAATAAGTTTTTATTTAATAATCAGTATTAATTAATTTGTGATTGATTTACTGATTTTTGCTATTAGTCAAAAAATGTGATGATTCATATAACTAATTAGCAAAAATTATGCCAAAAACTCTTAATGGTTTTAATGGCCAAAAGTTTTGATTTTGACCAATACTAATCTGTTTGTAAAATTCATGAATAGGAATTTAATTAATAAATTTTATATCTTGTCAAGCTCTTTATTGTTAAGGTAAATTATAATTTAAGGTGTCTCTCATCAATAATGTATGTGAAAGAAGATAAGCCAAAATTTATAAATTGTACTGATCAAATTTGAAAGAATGCATTGCACAGATCTCTTACTCCTATAACCTTACCGATTAGAGTTCAGCTATTTATGATTAAATATAATACAGTAAGTTCCATAGGATAGTAAGAATATTGTAATAGGTAATTGATTAATGATAATTTACTAGCTTTTAACAGATAAAAAAATATTGAGAGAAAAGTAACGCTAAACATGAGCTAAATATAATACTTTAATGGATGAAAAAGAGGCCAGTATTTTTGAATGCATGCAACTTGTAACTAGAAATTTGTAAGTGGAAAATTCAGTATTTTGTTTTATCATTAATTATACATTTATAGTTATTTTGTATTATACAGTTTTTTAAATATATTATCAAGTCATAACGCTAATAATACTATAGACAAAAACACTTTTGTTCATAGATACTATCACTTAATTTTAGAGGAAATTTTTAATAAGGCAAATTATAAAATCATGTGGTAAGTAATCTATTTTTATATTAAATAGTATATTACATTCAGTTTATACTTTAGATTATATTTTCTACTTAATCACATTGATAAAATCAGAATAAATAGAAAATCTAGTACCTCAAAAAAAATGACATAAATTTGATAAAAACAATCATGAATGAAAATTAGATTTTAGATTGCTTTTTGAAGAAGAAAATGAATTGATTTTTGAAGAAATAAAACTGCTTCATACACCAAATAATGCAATAAATCACTCTTTGGTTAAATTTGGAGAATTTATAAAAGGTTCTCTGGATTCTTTACATGAGCAGTTTGGATATTTTCCATATTTAGAGACATTTGGAAACATATTTAAAAGTTAGATTGTCATTAGTGAATTTTTCAAAACTTTAACTGGACCAATTTTGTTAACTGACTAGACATAAATTTAATAGGGTATCAAGTCAAATTGTTTAACTTAGATCTTCCATTTGATAGATTATATTATTTCAAATAGATAGAAAAAATGTTATTACCTATTGAGGACGCAAATTTTTTAAATCTAGTTTCTGCCATTTCATACTTTTATAGTTTATTGGTAAAAATCTGTTATCATATTCTTAAACAAGTTACATTTACAGTTATTTGCAAAAATAATGGACTACCTAATTCAATTTTCTACTGCATATGAAATTTTTATACATAGCCATACACATGCAGTCATACATGCATAGTAAACTGCTAAAATTATTGTGATATAATTGCAGATGACTGCATATGAAAAATTTAAAAATAAATTTAATAGTCTGGACAGATATTACTACAGTTAACCCTTGTTATAACGAATCCTAGGTTCCAGACCTCAACTTCGCTATAGGGCTATAGTGAAGATTTTAAGAGATTTGATTGGTTAATTCGTTATAGCAAGGGGAAATTTATTATAGTTGTCTGAAAAATTCACTATATCAAGGGTTCGCTATATCAAGGTTTGACTGTATGTGTATGATTACATATGAAAATTTCATACACAGTCAAAAATTAATTAGGTGGTCTATAATAATTTTTAATTAATTTTTTATCCAGAAAAAAGTTGATCATTCTATCAAAGAATTGAACAAAACATCTACACCTACTGGTTTGTCATCATAAAAAATCACATTTGTTACCCTACAAAGTTTGCATTCTAGTCTTAAATCTTTCACCTTCTGTAATCAATTGATCTATTTTTATTAATTTATAAAAATGATTATATATTTGCACCATAAGTTTTCTCAAATTGGGAATTTAATTTTTAATATTGTATAGATTAAATGTAATGTGTAGATTGCTTTATGTATTACCAGCAAAAAAAAAATGGTCAGTATTATAATTTATGATTACTGTAATATAATTAGTATTAATATACAAAGGTGAAATCGAACTCTAATCCAATTTTAAGGATGTGTTTCAATCTAATCTAATCATGAGAGGATTATCAGTTGCTTTAGTAAAATCAAAGATCACAAAATTTTAATCTTGCAAATATTTGTCAATTATCTTGAATGCTTTTTTTCAGATTATCTATATATTGATGCACAATCATGCATATGTTTTTACGAGATCTACTACCTTAGAATATAACTAGATGTGAAACATTTTCACGAATTATCTTTGGTATAGAGTGATATTTTTGGATTACATATATTGGTGAGATATTTTGATGTTAATCACTAATGAAATAGGGGATATTTAATAAGTGCTAATAATAAATATTAATAAATTATTTTGACTAATATCGTGATGAAATAAATGTCGAAGTCTAAATTCGGCTAGTAATTGATCATCCCACATAACTAATCAGTGTAATTCTTTTTTCAACATATACTGGAATTACTGAATTGCAAAGAACTGATTCATAAAAAATTTTTCAATGTTGCTATTTTGCAGAACTTTGCAAATCTGGTTTATTTTAAATTTTCTGTTGAAAAATTGCAGCATTTTGCTGATTTTATAAATAAAAATATTTAATTATTTGCAAAATTGCAAAATTTGCAGAATTTTACAGAAATGTGCAAAAAATGACAAAAAAAAGTGGAGATCTGCTAATTTCACAAATCTCTGCAGTTTTGCACCCTAAAAACTTTTCTGATGGTAAAGAAAAAAAATAAAAAAAACTTACTTTAAAGGCCATTTTATCCAAAATCAAGAAACTAGCATTTCTGCAATAAAAAAAAGAAAAAATATTTTGTTAGAAACATTTTTAACTAGTTGTTTCTTTAAAAATAAAAAATAAAAAAAGATTTTGAAGAATACCTTCGAAATCTCATCTGTGAATCATTTAGGAAGCCGCTGACCTAAAAAAAGAAAGGAAAATGAAATGTTAATAATGTTAAAAAAAATGAAAAAAATATTTTGAAACGTTAAAAAATGTTTTATTAAAAAAATAAAAAATAAAAAAAATTAGAATATTAGCCAACTTTTGATTAAAAAAAATGAAAAAATATTTACGAAACGTTAAAAAATGTTTTGTTAAAAAAAGAAATGTAAATCAGAATAGCCAACGTTTTGATTAAAAAAAATGAAAAAAAATTATTTATGAAACATTAAAAAATGTTTCGTTAAAAAAAGAACTATAAATCAGAATGTTAGCTAACATTCCGATTAAAAAAAAATAAAAGAAAATTATATTTTAAAATATTAAAAATTTTTCATTCAAAAAAGAAATATAAATCAGAATGTTAGTCAACGTTCCAATTAAAAAAATGAAAAAAAATTATTTACAAAATATTAAAAAATGTTTCATTAAAAAAAAATATAAATCAAAACGTTACCTAATTTCCTGTATACTATAGTGTAACTTGAAATAACTTATATAGACTCACATAATATAAATAATGACTGACTTGCTGATTATGAAATGTTCAAACTTTGCCTAATTTACCTGAGGTCTTTCTAAGCATTTCTCATCTGCTAATAGCTCTAAAGTCACATAAGTGATTGCTTTGATCCTGAAAAAAATACTACAATAAAAATTCAGATTATATTTAAATAAAATATTTTCCCTAATAAAAGACTTTATACTTAAAATATACTTATAATTTTATTAAAATATACTTAAAATAAGTATCAATTTTAATTTATGATAATTTTTTTTTAAATAAAAAATTACCAATAAATATTTTAAAAAATTATATTCCTATTTAATTTGAACATACTCAGATTTTTCTAAAAATTTGGACATTAAACAAAAAATTAAGTTAGGTCTCAACATATTATTTTTACAGTTTGATATACTTATAATATATCTAAAATATGGCTAAAATACTCTTGAAATGTACTTTTAATGTACTTGTTTTTTCCAAGTACTTAAATTATACTTAAAATATACTTAAATTAAAATTTAAGTACAATATAAATGTATTTTTACAATTTAAATATATTTTAAGTATAATTTAAGTATTTGGAAAAACAAGTACATTAAAAGTACATTTTGAGAGTATTTTAGCCATATTTTAGCCATATTATAAGTATATCGTAAATTAAAATTGATACTTATTTTTAAGTATATTTTAAATATAAATACTTTTCATAGGGTTTATCTATTTTATTTGAAATATCAACTATATATAAATATATGTTTATTATAATTTTTAACATATTATATTAAATTTAGTACTTTAATTAAATTTTTATATTTTATTTTTAAAAAAGAATTTTCTTTTTTACTGTAAATTTTTATATAATATGTATAGAAGTAGATACAAAATTTAAAAATTTTTGGCCTCTTTGTCCGAAGTTTTGTAAGTTATAACAGCTAGAGATCTAAAAAGCTAAAATCACAATGGTTACTAATGTTATTAAATTATCACATGATATTGATAATTCTGGCCAAAAAAAGCGTTGTTCACTAGTAAAGAAGTAATCAATTCTACTGCGCTATCATAGGTTTTTTTTATAAAAATGAAATTCTCCGAGATTAATTTAAAAAGTGGATCAGATCGTTTAGAGGGAGAAGACGATAAAAATTTCCAAGATTTGCTTAAAGCTTGTCGTAGTGGTGATTTAGAACGAGTTGAAAGGTTATTAAAGCTTACTAGTTACATCCTCTTCATTTAACTGCAAGTTTCATTGCTAAATTGGTTCTTTATTTAATCAATTGTCATATTAAGCTTGGTTAGAAATTTTGCAACGCCAATTAATAGAACCGATTTTTGGCAGTGTTCTCCCCTATTTCTCGCTTGTCTATGGTAAATATATGTAATATTATAGTTAGCTGATTTCTACCTGTTACAGGACAAAGTAATAACCTTTAAATTTTATTTTTAGTGGACATTATGATAGTAAGTTAGTTATACTTTACATTCCACTTTGTTGCGAATTAAACTCACATTTTCTGGAATATTAGTTGTGAAATTCTTACTTGAAAATGGAGCACGATGTGAACGAAATACTTTTGAAGGGGAACGGTAAGTCTACTACTAATATATCTAAAAAACTTCTCTTTAATTTACCGAATTATTTATTTTTAGTTGCATATATGGAGCATTGACATTAAAAATACGACAACTTTTATCAAGTTATAAGTATACTAAAGCAGTTGACGAAATTTTGCCTTATCGTAAATTCTTTTCCCAACTGTTAGAACGACCTTTTGAAACTTTTAGTGATGTTACTTTCAAATTTTTTGTCTCAACCGATTTAGCCAAACCTGTAGAAATTCCGGCTCATAGATTTGTTCTATACGCTCGATCATCATTCTTTGCAAGTAATTTTCAGACGATTTGGCGTTCATATAAAATAATTGAAATTCGGGAGATACAAATTCATCCAATATGTTTTCGTGAAATGTTGAGATATCTTTATACTGGGGAAGTTGTTTCGATATCAGATGATTTAATGAATAACATGATACAATTATGTAATTATGTCCGTCTAGATAATTTAGTTAAACGATATGAAGACGTAAAAAATGTTAAAAATGTTCAGGAACGGAATAAAATGGAACTTCAACAGATTCAGCAGGATTTTACTAATTTCCTTAAAAATGTTTTACTAGGAGGAAAACAATATTTTTACGATTATTCAGACAAGAAAGGTTATAGCATACAAAGTGGAATAAATGGAGTCGGATGTAACAATACAGAACCAAAATTCATAGGACCTCAACAATTTGCTCAACATGATGTTTGTATTAGAGTGGAAGATGAAATTCTCCCCTGTCATAAAGCAGTTTTCACTGGACGCAGTGAATATTTCAATGCCATGTTTAATGGGCCATTTGCTAAATCAATAATGAAACAACCTATAGTTACAGTTTCTGATCTTTCTCCTGGAATATTTGCTTTAATTCTAGAGTTTATATATACAGACAAGTGTGATATACCGGATTCAGCGGCATATGAAGTATTAATAAAGGCTGATATGTTTTTACTTGATAAACTGAAATCCCTTGCATCTATTGTATTAACATCTTCATCCGAACCACTTGAAGATATTTACGTACTTATGCGTACGGCTATTGACTTGAATATTGAGAGATTAGAACGCTGGTGTTCTCGTTGGTTTGCTGAACATTTAAGTGAAGTTTTAGAAGATCAAAGATTTTTGGATTTAATTGATGAATCTGCTCATTCTATTCAAAAAAGACAAGAAACTGATACTATCCCTTTTGTCGATGATTTAAGATATTGGTTATCTAAAAAAAATAGTGTATTGGAAGAAGATATTGATAAAAAAAGTGGTAAAGTACGAGAAGATGAGGACATTACCGCTTGGGAAACAGAATACAATTCAAGTTTGGAAAAAATCGATCAAATTTTATTAAAATTAAATTTAGACGCTTAATTATTTATTTCAACATGTTTTGCAATCACACTCGTCTATCAACATCACTTTGAAAAATGAACTCAATTAACTTATAATGTACGAATAAATCACTTCCAAAATTTCAAGGAATACGACTTTTAAATAATGTATATCGGTCAATATTATCCAACGTTACTTCTGGTTTTTTTAGATTGTCATTTGAATTTTCAAGGACTTGACTTTTAGTTTCTCTTTCTTCCTTTTCTGCAAGAACATGTTCTTCAAATTTTTTAGCTTGCGCTCTCTCTTCTGCTTCACGCGTTTCCATACTAGCATATCTTCTATGAGCAAATCCAAGTAAATTTATTCCAACTAGTAATTTTAATAATATCAACATAACATACGCTAAAATCCCGCATAAAATCCATACAATAGGAGGTTGTGTAGCAACATTAACAATTGGCATATTTTTTGGATCATCTTCCATATCTTGTATCAAATCATAAATCATTGAAACAGTTTGTAAAGTCATACTAATCGTAAAACATGTCAATGGGAATGCAGCAAATCCGATCCGACGAGAAACCATTGGTGACTGATCAACAATTTTTTGTGGTCTAAAATTGTTATTCATTCCATCAGAATTTCTCGTTGGATTCCCAATTACTAGATCCTTTGATAGTACGTCGATGTATCTATCATAGATACTTGTTCGAATATGATTAAATTTTGTAATAAATGCATGTTTTAACCAATCAACCAACAATTCAGACAACAATACAAATAATACTGGAGTCATTAATGTCTCAACAGTAGTCATTGCCGGAAATAATGGAATGAATGATGCGGGTAATATGGAAAATGGTGAAGGTGGAGATCCCGACAATTCAATCAAGTTACGAACAGTTATCACTGATAAAAAAATGGCCAATTGGAACCGTTCAACTATATCAGCACAACTTAGTTGAAATAAATTTTCTTTTTCGAACCTTTTAAACACAGATCCTTTAATTTCGATGAATTGATTTGATAATAATAAAGTCAATAAAGCATTTGAGTAAGAGTTGATTGCTACGTTAAGAGTAATGGATTGATAAAATAAAACTATTGAATGTGTAAGGATATAAATTAATGCCAAAATGAAAAATTTAATTGTTCTCCAATTTGGATTATTATTATTATTGTCAGAATCATCCTTTCTTTTCCCAAGTGTTGATTTAGAAAATAGAGAATCAAGAATATCTCCACCAAAAGAACAACAAAGTCGATCGAAAATTTCAAGAACGTTAAAGATAACGTATAATTTAATAACAGATTGTCCCCGGATTATATGATATATTCGTGATGCATCTACACTTTGAAGTGCTGTACAAACCAAAATTATAAGTAAGCCTTTAAGTAAATCACATTTCTGTGATAAATTTAATATACTATATCTCCGTTGATTGCTATTTTCGTTATTAAAAAATAACACAATGTTCGTGATTAATGAATAAAAAGAAAATATTACACGTAAAGGGAGAATGGTGAGTGTATATAAAAAAGAATCTAAACAAATGAAAAATCCGAAAATCATGAGTTTTTCAATTGAACATGGAATACCAAGAAAATTGGTCACCCTTTCTCTTTTAAGTTCTTGTAAAGTATCAAATTCAGATGCTGTTAATTCATCTTTGAAATAATCCCATAGAGTAAAAAATGGAACCGGAGATGTATTTTGTGCATTATTAAATTCTTTTTGTTTAGTGGATTCATTTTGTGAAGCTGAAAACTCCGGCTTAGTAACTGTCATATTATTATTTCAAATGAAATTTTTTTTTTTATTTATTTATCAGTCTGTTATCAGTCGGAATATCAATATGACCGACTGACAGTTGATTGGACAGTGAATACTCGATAAATTGATCACGTGAATGAACTGAAACAAATTTAAAGTGGGACGCATAACCACCAAATTTCGATTTTGATTCTTTTTCATTCCTTCTCTTCTTTTTTTTTTAGAAAAGATTTTTTCAAGAAAATGGGATCAGCTCTTTCTTGTTTAAAACAGTCACAATCACCACCGATACCATCAGTTGTTTTTGAACGTTATTTTTCTTTTAATAGAAATACTGTTACAAGTTTACCACCAGAATGTTTACGAGAAATTTTTGAATATCTTGAAACAAAAGGTTCACTTTATTCATGTCTTTTAGTCAACAGAAGTTGGTGTAAGGTGGCCACCCCCATTTTATGGAAAAGCCCTTTCAAACTCTCAAATGGTTTGTCGACTGAATCTACTAAAATAATACAAGTTTATCTCACGTGTCTTAATAGGAAGTCAAAACAATATCTATGCAATAATGGAGTGATATTACCAAGTAACATAATAGAGGGAATTTCTTCACCAATATTTGATTATCCATCTTTCTTGAGGGAATTGAAATTTTCGGATATTTATAACGGAGTCTCTGATTGGTTTTCTAATGTTATCGGAAATCTTGGAGATGAACAACAGACAACTTTCTTGAAGATTCTTATTACGGAACAATTATTTAAACTATTTATGAATCAATGCTCAACTTTCGATATAATTTCATTGTCAGACATACCCTACGAAACTCCTACGCCTTTGTTACCGTTTTTAACCGGATCCGTTAATTGTTTTTCTCGTTTAAAAAGCTTTCATTGTGTTAGCAAACACAATAACAAGAGTGAAATTTTTAGAGCAATTTCTCAAGTATCAGAATTTATTGAAACGTTAGAAGTTGGAGGTGTTGATCATGATATGGAAGTCAAAGCTTTAGGAGTTCTAATAAGAGCTCAAAAAAAATTAAAAAAATTTAAATACACTTGGGATTACCAAACAAAGTATCAAGTTGTATTATCGGAAACCCTATGTGCACTTAAATCTCAATCAAAATTTTTAACAACGATTCAATTCGAATATTGCAATTTTCATCATTGTAATTCTATGGAAGCATTAGCAGATTTTGAAAATCTAGAATATATACAATTTATTCATTGTATATATATTGGAGATAAAATGAATTCTTTTACCAATGCAAAATTTCCACGTTTAAAATATGTCGGATTTTATACCAATTACATAGAATCTCCTCGGTATTGGGTATGTCCTGATGATGTAGCCGCATTAATTGAAAATTGTCATAATAGTTTAGAACAAGTTTTATTGCCAAGAACTGGAAATTGCACTATATCCTCTCATAAATTAGTAAAAGCTCTTAGATTATGTAGGAATATTAAGGATTTAAAAATACAAATGGGTGAAGGTGACATTGAAGAATTTTTGGAATTTTTAAAGAATAATGAAAGATTGGAAAAAGCAACTTTAATTTGTTACGGTGATTCGAATATTGAATATTTCTTTACAAAAACAAATCAATTATGGCCAAATACTTTGTCATCATTAAACCTGAAAGGACAATGGATTATTTCTCCTGAATATTTAAAGACACTGTTAAAAGAATGTAAATCTTCAATAAAACAACTGGATTTACATTCTTCTCATATAACCGATGATCATGTTGGTGCTGTAATTGAATACGTTAAAGAAATGAGATCTGCTAAAAAAACAACTTTACATAGCTGTTTAATATCCGGTGAGCGAATGTCTGAAGAAGGAAGACGGAAAGCGAGAGAATTTGTAAACTTAACAAAAATTTTTTTATAATAGATAACATTATCCAGGTATAATTTTAAAATTGTTATTTTTTTGGGAGGTATACCATTAACAATTACACAAACATTTTAATTATGGTTTCTAAAAATTTCCCTATTGAATAGAGTTAATATGTAAAATATTAATTGTATGTAGCATTAAATAATAAAAATAGTACGGTATATATATTTTATAATGATAAATAAAGACATTGATGTTTCAAAAGATTTTATGTCATCACTAAGATGGCAGGAAGACAAAATATTTGCCAACAAATCGGATCTCTGTTCCTTTCACACAAATAAAAATTCAACTATTACTATCTACATGTCTTTGACAATAAATGCAGAATATTAAACACAATTAACTGATCGATGATCACTTTGTGCCACCAGTGACTTATGCCGTGATGGGTCTGGTAATATATATTCACGTGAGATTGTAATATCATAAAAACTAAGCTAAACACTGATAATTTACTCATGCCTCAGCATGCTGTCGGTAAATAATCAGAGACGTCCTTCAGTTGGCACTAATGTGACTTCTAGTATGGGCGTAAGAAGGCCTTCAGACGGAAATGTTCAACCTATAATAAATAATATGAACGACTCAACGTCTAATAATGGTCAAAAAAAAAATCCTACTTCTCCTATTTTAACCGGAAAACCTTCAAATGGTCATTTCCCTATTACTGAACCACGTTCACGTTCATCTTCGGTGTCTAGTATGCATTCTTCTGGTAGTTATTTGCTACAAGATATGCCTGGAGTTTACAGTCAGTTAGGACTTTTGCCAACTTCCTCTTTACAGCGACAAAATATTTTCCCTGCTGAAATTGACACAGATCTAATAACAAATGAGGCTACTTCCTCAGGACGACATCATTCTCCACCTTCCCCCGTGAGCGCAAATGCTGACGGGTCTAATGTTAGCAGTCCAACTAGTGCAGCTGCCTCATTAACTCGCAGAGACCACATAACCGGCCATACTCATGATCGAAGTAGATCCGCTTCCTTTGATGGAGAAATTGAACCTTCCGCATGGACATTGGATAGAGTTCTAGAATGGCTTGATGATAACTCTTTTAGTGAATATAAAACAATGTTTATTGGTATTAAAATTTTTTATTTTTCCAAATTATTCAAATTATTAAATAAATATATATATATAGAGACGTTTTATTTATTAATGGATTTCATTATATTTAGAGAATAATTTGTGTGGAGAACAATTTTTTGCTCTTGGTAAATTTAAAACAATTAAGAATATCGTAGAAAGTGGTGATTCTAATCGTTATAGATTAATAAATGCAATTAGAAAGATTGGTGATGTAAGGCCAAAGCGACAATCATTTTCTAATAAGGTTTAAAATAATTATTATAGTATTCATAATTCTTTTTTATGATCTTATCATTATTCTAATCCTGATGACAAAACTTTATTTAGGGTAATCAACCTGATGTACAAAGTCCGCATTCAGGAGGCCAATTATCATTATCCAATTCTATTAATGAACAAAATTCTCCGACAACTCCAACTATTCAGTCAGTGCCTTCACCAACAGAACAAATATCGAAACAAAAATCTTTAAAATTATCAACAAGTTTTCCTGATTTACGTAGCGTTAAAGGCCCTATAACAAGTCCAGTTATAGGTCCAAGACATTCTTCAATTGGCTGGCAAACTAAGAGTAATAATTCATCAAATTCTACAATAATTTCTTCAATAAAAGAAACAGATTCTTCTAATGAAAATACTGCTGCTCTTCCCATGAATAATAATGATAAATGGGCAAAATCATCAGTTCATAATAATCCTTCTGTAATACAGAAACAAACATCAGAAGATATTACAAGCCCTCTTTCTCCTAATTCTAATAGAAAAACTAAAGGAGGTCCTAATTCATCTCTTAAAATAGTAAGAAGTTCATAGTCTAAAGTTTAATGTGATGATTTTAATTAAATTTACTTCCTTGGCTGATATATTTTTTCTTATTATATGCTTAATAGCACGGGGAGACTACAAAAAATATTCAAGTGACTTTTGATAATAAAACTTTCCGTGTGATCGACCTTGGTGGGCGAGAAGATCCTTCTACAATTAAGGAAACAATATTTTCTCAATTGGAAATCCCTCAAATTGAGAGAGAACATTGTTCATTTCATTTGACTGAGATTGGACAAAAAGAAATTGGTGTGTTACTTTACATATGTTTTTGTTGTATTTTAAACTAAAAAAAAAAATTAAAAAATTTTTTTTAGGCCCCACGATAGATGATGAAACATTGATTCAAAAATGTAAGAAAGCCGATGTTCGTGGGTCATTAAAACTGTTAATTATGCGAAAACAATTGTCAGATCCTTATTATGGACAAATTCATAATCAAGGTAAAATAATTTCTGGAGGAGACCAGTCAAATAAATCAAAAATATTGAGACGTACGACCCCTCCAGAAATGTCACCACCACATGTTTCACCGGAGTCAAATCATTCATTACCATTCAATAATAACAATGATGAAAGAAAGTATTATAATATTACTGGCGGATCTAATCCTATAATTCTAGAACGTTGGAAAGCTGAAGGTCTTAGTCATTTAACAGAAGAATCACAGGATTTTAGTAAATTTAGAGAACCTAAGGATGTAGCTTATCAAATATCACATGCGTATTCATCAGATCATAAAACACATTATCGAACGCCTCCCAATTCAAATCACCGTCGTCATGATAGGGAAAATCTTAACTACTCAAATTCATCATCACCACAACACCGTGTAGGTGATGTTGATTATTCTCTTAATAACGCTCCTTTAAAATCTAGGTCACAGCTACCTCCTTCATCAAAACATCCAGTTGTTTTACAACCTGCGAACGGTATGATGAATACGAGACGTCCTCCAAGTCGAGAAAGTATTATAAGAAATCCAGATAATAATAACCGAAGTCCGCCTCCACCACCAATACCACCAAAACCTAATATTGTAACACAGAAATCCTTAATGTCAATACACGGAATGTACATGAATCATAACAGCATATCACAACCTCATTTACCCCTCCCTCAAAATCTTTCAACTAATAATCAAGAATCAGAACATTATCAGCGTCCTATACATGCGATGGTATCCGAGCCTGATCTTCCCTTAAGGGAACCTCAATTATTTTCACAACCGGGAAAAGAGTTTAATCGACATATAGTTCAAGGGTCTACTAAGGCTCTGTTTCCAGATGATGATGATGAACCCCCATTATGGCCAAAAATTACATTATCATCTCAATCAAAAAAGGAAGAAGAATCATTTTGGGCTGAAGAACCTAAACCTTCTACCCAAAACGCAATTTCTTCTTTTAATGATGAGGATTCTCTTTGGGCTGAAACAGCAGAATCATTTAAAGATAAAAATACTTCAAATGAAGGATCTTCTTGGAAAGAATCCTCAAAACCTTCACAAACCGATAATTTGTCACATATTAATGATGAGCTTCCTCCTCGTACTTCTAGTTTAATAAATTCTATTGATCCATTAAGAAAATCTCTTGATAAGACTAGTATTGAAGATGATGAAAATGTGCCTATACCACCTAAGTCTTTAAGTTATACGTCAGAGGATAGTGAAGGTGATGAAGATTTTTGGGCCCAAGAGCCAATTTCAAGTGAATCGAATTCTGAAGAGAAGAATAAAGAAGTAGCAGCAGCAGCAGAAGATCCTCGACCTCAAAACCAAAAATCACCACCAAATAGTGGACAATCAACAAATTCTCTCATTATGCGTAATGATGAAACTACAGATTTAACTAAAAGTTTTAGCTCAGATAATCGAAATAATAATCTTCCTGATAATATTAATGATAATGATAATAAAGAGCGTGATGTAGAAAGTATGAAATCTAATGATGTCATAAATGAAACAGGAAATAGTAATTCAATATCTCCGTCTGAAGGAATCCAATCAAATAATAAAAGTGCATCCCCAACACAAAAACCAAAAAACGGTTTAGCACGTACAGTATCACTGCGTAGAGGTGTTACCGAATCATGGGTAGTCCGTCCTACGGCTGAAGATTTGTTTGAACAATTAGAACAATATTTTCCGGGTCATGATCTTGATAAACCTATTGTAGATTCTGTCCAACAACCAAATATAAACGAGGAATCACCAAGCGCGCCTACAGTAAAAACTGGAGGGAAAATTCAAAGAGGAAAATCTATCCGCGCTGCTGCTCGTGAAGCACATGAACGCGAACAACGTGAAAAGAAAGAAAGAAAAGAAAGAACCAAAAAGCTAGCAGTTGGAGTTGTTAGTGCAATTGAAGCTTTTAGTGATGCAATCAGAGTGCCACAAAAGCTAACTAGAAAACCTACTACTAAATTATGGGATAAAAAAATTGTTCTTGTTCCTTCACATAAAAAACCCTGTCCTCCAGAAGTTCCTCCTGGAGAATGTGTTTCCACAGAAAGAGAACGTTCGTATCTTTATATAATAATTTTTATCGAGTTTTGTTGATATATTTTAACTATTAATTTATTCATTATTTATTTATTTTTAAAAAAAAGCCGTAATATCATGGGCAAAAGGTGAACTAATTGGTAAAGGAACTTTTGGGAAAGTGTTCCTTGCTATGAATGTGAATTCATCCGAAATAATGGCAGTTAAACAAATTGAATTGCCAAAGACAAAATCGGACCGGTTGAACGAAAGACAACAAAATTTGGTATATAATTTATAAAAAGCTATTGCTACATCAATTTATAATACTCTTATTTAATTTTTTTATAATAAATAAAGGTCAAATCTTTCACTGATGAAATGGAAATTCTGAAAGATCTAGATCATGAACATATTGTCCAATATATTGGTTAGTCGTATATCATTGTGTTTATTTTTATTTTGTATGCATAACAAGTATTTAACTTTATGATTTAATTCATAGGGTTTGAAAAAACTGACGAAGCCATTAATATCTTTCTTGAATATGTTAATGGCGGATCTATTGGTACCTGTCTGAGGATTTATGGCGCATTTAAAGAACCTGTTGTAAGGTCATTCACACGGCAGATTTTATTAGGATTGCAATACTTACATAATAGAGGAATATTACACAGAGTAAATGTCATTTTTATCTTATTGGTTTATAATATATGAATTTAGTATATTTAATTCTCCTTTATTTATTAGGATATTAAAGCAGATAATATACTTGTTGATGAAGAAGGATATTGCAAGATTTCTGATTTTGGAATATCAAAAAAGAGTGGTATGTATTTTTATTTTTTTTTTTTAAAAAAAAAAAAGTATAAGTATTAGTTTAAATTTTTTTTTATAAAAAAAATATACATGAGTATCCTATTTATTAACTTTAAAAAAAATATAGGAGTTTCCTATTTATAAATTTACTTATTTACTTTTAACTTTTTAATTAGAGCATCTTGCTTATGATCATAGTTCAAATATGTCATTGCAAGGTACTATCTTTTGGATGGCACCAGAAGTATTTAATTCTACTAAAGGATATAGTGCTAAAGTTGATATATGGTGAAGTTTTTGTATTATTTAATATTATTACATATAAAATGAAATTATATAATGTTTTTAATATTCTTGTATTTGTAGGAGTCTTGGTTGTGTTGTACTTGAAATGTTTGCTGGTGAAAGACCTTGGAATAATTTAACAGATCTTGCTGCTATGTTTAAAGTTAGTATATTATTAAAAATATTAAATTTATTGATTTTTTTTCCAATTTAATATTGTAATTAATATAATTTATAGCTTGGAAGTGAGAAAAAAGCACCACCAATAAGAGAAGACATTATAATGTCATCTGATGCTAGAAACTTTTTAGATCAATGCTTTATAATGTAAGTTTAAAATTTATGTTAATAATAATTTATTTATTAATAATATTTAATCATTTATATTTATTAAAGAGAACCAAATAATCGGCCAACCGCAGAACAACTTTTACAGCATCCTTTTGCACAAGAAAATCCTAATTTTCATTTTAAAGTAAATTATTATATTTACACTTTTTTCCATTTTTACTTATTTAAATATTAATTAAATTTATAATTTATAGGAATATATTTCAATACCTGGACGTACTTAAATATTTAAATTATATAAAATAAAAAAAAATAATATATATATAATTGTAAAAAAAAAAATAATAATTATGATATATTTATTATTATTATTTTTCATAAAAAATATAGTTTGTTAAATAAGATTTTTTTTATTTTTTATTTTTAACAAATTTAGTTTTATGAAAAAAATAATAATTACTATTTTATTTAATTATTTACTTTTAAACAAAAAAATTTTACATCAAATTTTTTTTTGTAGACTTTTTTTTATTATATTTGTTTAGTTAAATTTATTTATATGTATATATTTGAATTTTTTTTTTTACAAATACCATTTTTTTATGATTTAATAACTATTTTATTAATGAATTTTTTGTAATAGGATTTATAATAAAAATATTTTTTTAAAAATAAATAAAGATAAATGTATTTTGTATGATAAAATTCCATTTATCAGTAAGGGCAAATTATGTGATTTTAAAAAAAATTGTTTTTTATAAATAAATCTTTTTACCATATATATAACCAATATATATACTAAATGCATTTTTGCCTGCTTTGTAAGTTTACTTAGAGCACAGAGTAGGGTTTTAAATCCTGTTTTTACTTTTTTCATTTTCATTATTCATTTTTAGATATGATTGGGCGATTGGCAAAGTTTTGTTTATTCATATGTAAAATCAAAAACAATATTCAAAATCCACTTTTTTTCCTAAAATATGCTTATTTTATGATTTTAAAATTTATATTAATCTTATAAAAAATTAATCTAATTAAAATTATACTGTTGCTCTTGCTTTAGACAACTTCTATAAAAGAAAATTTTATATTATATTATTATGATTTTTTTTCTTTTTAGTTAATTAACTAATAGATTTCATATAAAAATTAAAATTTTCTATAGTAATATTTATTAGTAATAGGCAGGATCCTTGTATAATACTCAAATTCAGATGTTATGATAATATGTAGTGTATGGATACTTATATATGTAGATAGTGTTAATTTTTTGATAAAAAGTTACTGTGCAGATGGTGTATAATTAATTGAGTTTTACTGTATGATAAATTAATATGACTATACTACTATAATAAGTACTGTAATACATATGCGTCCAATCATATAAGGATATTTCAAAATTTTTTGTATGTATGTTACACATCCTTTTTAAAAAAGATGTGTGCAAAATTCTGATTATATGCGCTGCACACATGCTGCATAGTAAAAAATAAACACTGTATGTAAGGTATGCAAAATTTTACACGTATTCTATACAAATCTACATTATTTATTACTAAATAAGAAAAGACCTAAACCATTCTATTTTGTATTATGTATGATTACGTGATTCTTTTATATGTGATGTTTAACAGGATCCCAGATAATTATAGTTGAAGTCATATCCAATTATATTTAAACTTTATACATAATTTATCTTATAATTTTATTAAATTAATATTATAAAATAATATAGAAAAAAATGGTTCTTTTAAAGAAAAATTGCGTAATAAGGCAAAATTTGGCAAAAAAATATACACTTTTTCACTTTCAGTATACATAGAAATATTCAAAAAAAAATAAAAAACTATATTATTAAATATTACTTTTTAAATTACAAAATTATAAATAGTAGGAAGGCAACTATTTTATTAAAATTTTACATTTATATCTCAGTTTTAAAATAAATTCAAGATGGCAATAATAAATTTTTAAAAATTCTTAATATAGGGGATATGACTTTGATTATAATTGTTTAGGGTCCTTATTTAACTATATCCTGCATACATAGCCAACTATACATTACATGTTTACTATGCTCTTCTATATTTTATATATAATATATGTATTTTTACCTGTTCTACAATATACATGCCACCCAAATTATTTTGGACTGCCGTAATTATAAGTAAAATTCCAAATTATTTTGGCACTTTACATAGTAAATTATATATAAACCGAATGAATTATGGCATCCCAAAATAATTTGGGCAGCATGTATATTCTACAAGTTTATTTAAAATATCAAAAATAGGTTTGAATATCATTTTTCAATTATATAACTTTTAAAAAATTTTTTTTTCTAAATAAAACTTTTTATCACATATATAACCTTCCAAATTATTTATAATAAATGTATTTTTGTTTGCTTTGCAAATTTACCTAAACTATACATGCTGCCCAAATTATTTTGGGATGCCATAATTATAATTTGGGATGCCATAATTCATTCGGTTTATATATAATTTACTATGTAAAGTGCCAAAATAATTTGGGATGCCATAATTGAATTTGGGATTTTACTTATAATTACGGCAGTTCAAAATAATTTGGGTGGCATGTATAACCTAGACTATCAAATAAGGTTTTTTAGATATAATCAATAAAATTTGTTTATTTATTAAGTAAAGTTAAAATACTATTTAAAATCCACTTTTACTCTTTAAGTAAACTTAAAGAGTAGGCTAAAATATACTTATTTTATAACTTTTAAACTTATATAAATCTTAGTTCAAAAATTCCTCTTATTTGGCAAAATTTTTTTTGGGATTTTTTTTATTAAATTATATAATTTAATTCTAGTTAGAATTAAATAATTAGTATAAAAAATATTTTTTTTTGGAATAATAATGAAATTTAAGTTTGAAAATTTCAAAGTTTACACGGGGTGTTTGAACACGGGTCATGTGAAATATAATGACACCAATGTCACACCCTTTACTTTTTCTATGTAATATAATGTATTTTTGACTGCTCTGCAAATTTACTTAAGGCATCAATGGGGGTTTTGAATGCCGTTTTTGACTTATATATGAAAAACTGTCTTTGCAGATCATTTCCTAAATTTTTTAAGAGTGATCGGCAAAATCAATTATTCATAGGTAAAGTCAAAACTGACATTCAAAAGCACCTTTGATGCCTTAGGTAAACTTGTAGAGCAGGAAAAAATCCATTTATCTACTAATTTTGAAGTTTATGCTATTAGCCAAAATGGCAATAATCACATGACCCGGGTTCAAACACCCCGTGTACAAATAGAAATTGCCTTTAAGTTTTATATATATAAAAGTGGATTTTTATATAAATATATAAAATCTTTATTAAGTAAATTCCAAATAAAATTTTTCAACTTTATTAAAAGGGCATTGCTAAATCTCATTGCAGATGATTTTCACCATACTAGTATTAACAAATATTAATAGGCAGAGTTCCATGCTATTTTTGATTCTACTTAAATTCTACTCTAATTCCAGTAAGTTGACAATCATCCAGTATCCAGCTGTAATATTTAGCAATACTTTTATTAAAAACCTATCTGATTATAGTTTAAGGTTAAAAAAAAAATCCATTTAATTTGCTTATTTTTTTTTTATTATTTTTACTAGTAAAAATGTGATGTATACATATAATAAATTATACAAGCTATTCACTTAGACTGCTCCAAGCCAATTTTTTGTTTAACATAATATAGAGGGTCCCAATCTGGACAAAAAATAATACATAAAATAAAATACATGGCCAGAATTACCATTAATTTTGGCCAAAATTTTGACCAAAAGAGTGAGCAAAAATTTTGGATGATAATTCCGGCTAAGAACTTAAGATTTGTCTAATTCCGGCCTAAATTACATGTATTTTTTTTACATAAAAAATCCAAAACAGGAGGGGGGGGGGTATGTTAAACGAAAAATTGAATTGGTGCGGGCTTATTGGAAAAATATAATCTTTGATTGCCAGGTCCATTTAGATAAGATTTCTTCAAATTAAAATAATTTTTTATGTAACTGATAATATAAGATAAAATCATTTCATTTAAAAATATATAAGGTAAATTCTATGCATTTTTAATTAAAAAAATTATGAATTTAGTTAGTTTACAATAAATATTAACTAGTGATTAAAATTTGATGATTTTATATCATTTGAATCATCTCATAAATCTTTTTAATAACATGATAAATCGTTATAAATGCATTAATTTTCTTTTCTACCTTTTATATTAATAGCAACCCTTAAGGCTGACATTGTGATCAACACGGCTTCCTAAAAAGAAATGTAATCAACCAATCTATAATCTTTTTGCAAAAAATTTTTAAATTATCCTTACTTCTGTTCTTATCGTTCTACTTCCTTGATTAGGACAAGTATTTACCCACAAATCAAATAATGCATCAGCTTCTTCACCACTACATTTTAAATCTTCATCAACGTCGATTGCCGCTTCTATACCTCCTAGTCCGCCAAAAACGATCAGCAAATGACTAAAGAAATAAATCAAGAGCGTGTTAATCCTTTTTCAAATAATAATAATTCCATGACAATTGTTTTTGAATTATTTTTTACTTAAATTCCGGCAAATCGTCTATTATATCATCAACAACTTTTCCGCGTTCAGATGTTCCTATAGCTACATCATAACCATCCTTTGAAAAGAGTTTAATATTTAATTAACTAATTAAAAATTTTGAATGTTAGCAATTTCTTTGTTCCTTACAGGATAAGAACATTCAGTAAACACTTTTGATATAGAATCTGCTATTCTAATATTATAACCCCAATACAGCCCATGTTGTTTTGGGACTTTTGGTGATATGACTTTAGCTTCTATATATTGATTATCTAAAAGGAAGAATTGTTCAATTAATTGTGTAGAAATAAACTAGATAAGATGCAAAGTAATTATTACCGTTTTTTGATGTTTCATAATTTCCCATATCTAAAGTTACACGTACACCTGGTTTAATTGATTTATCGATTATTACATGCTAAATTTACAAAAAAAAAGCGTCAGTAATTCTAGATAATAACAATGTTTGATTTTAAAAGTATAATTGCCTTAGAGAGTCCAGCATTTACTAAGGATGTTTCACCACCTGATTTTTTGTTGATTATAACTCCTTCACGAAATGGGCTTTTTTCTTCTTTACGAACATGATGAGGACAATCTAATGGATTCAATAACCCTATTATAAAGAAAAAAGTTAATTTACAATTTTTGTAAGAACATTACCATTTACGTACCCGCGTATGTAAGATCTTGGTGTACGGGAAAAAGTTCTTTCCGCAAATATCTAAGAAAAAGATTAATTAGAATTCAAGATATTTTTTACAAAAAAAAAAAAAAAATGTTACTAACTGAGGTGTTTCTAAATATTGCAATATTCTAGCCAAAAATACATTTGGATCTGAAGATATTCCTTCTTCTCGTTTATTTTTTGTGTGCGAATCAATTTGAGATTGAGAACTTTTTTGCATTCCTAATTCATTGAATATTACTATTTCATCTACATTAAAGATGGCAAATGATCGGGCCAACTTTTAACAAATAAAAAAAAATAAAAAATTCTTTTTTAGATATTAAATTAACATAATCAACTTCGAGGAGTCAATAACGTTACCTGTCCTGCCAAATAAGTTTTTAATTCAATCGATTGAGCATTATCTATTATAGAACCTGGAAGCGCAATACTAACAGTATATAATTTTTTCGTATTTGACCGAATTTTTTTTTGTTTAGTATGCTTAATATTTTGTGAGTTCTATATTTAGTATTAACAAAAAATGAAACGATAAGTCAAAGATAAATAAAAAAAACAAGTCTGAATTTATTTTATTACCTTTTTCCGTTTGTGTTCAGCCATTTTTTATTCAAAAAGAAATTTTTTTCAAAAAAATTACATTTTTATACACATCTTCCTAGTGTCACCGTCATTTTTCCACCCCGCGTGACTCCATATAATTGGTCATTTTAACATAAAATTCACAGTCACGAGATAATATTTTACCACATCGTGTCACATCCACGGTAATAATGAGGTAGATAAAAATTATAGTGCCTTAAGATATGAAATTTATAATTTAACAAAAAATAGAACTAGGGAATTCGAAGAGTTACTAAATACTAACATAAATGGAAATTAGGACAAAAAAGTCTAATATCCTAATGAAATATGTAATTTTAATTTTTTTTTTTTGTATTGAATTACATAATTACATTATCACATTCATAGACATTTAAAGGAAATAAAGTAGTTATTTATTTGCTCATTTGCCTTTTGACATTTTTAAGGGGTCCTAAAATCCTTAATAAAAAAAAAAATGAAATGCATATATATAGTAATTCATCATCTAATCGATCTAAGATAAAAAAAAAAAATGTGATTTTGTTGCATTGTTTACAAATATTACAGATAAATTGATTGATCGCATAAAATTTCAATAATTCCCTAATATAATAAAAATAATTATTTAGAGTTTATTATGTAATCTAAGGATCATTTTTTTTTAGTTTTAAATTACTTAATATGTATAAGATATTTGAATTAAATTTTCACATGTTTGAAAGAAATTATTTATGAAAACCATGTTGAAATTTCATAATGTTTGTTTTAGATCATTTGGATGAATTTTCCATGTGGTTTCTGTTATTTTGATTAACATTTTTTTAAACAAAAAAAAAATTTCATTCTTTATAAATTAACCAAACTTCTAAGGACGTTACTTTATAAACTAGATTTTCAATATGTCATCATTATTGAAATTTAGTGTGTGGACAACTTATATTTTAATAAATTCTTTATTAGCGTTCCTTACTGACTTGGCTCAATGGCCTCCTAAAACTCGGAATTTTTGGTCTGCTTGTATTACAACTACAATTGGAACTATTTTTACTGAGTTCCCTTTGTATGTTATCTTATTTAAAGTTTGGATGTGGTTTGCTATCGCTATTATGGATGTTTGGTTCTCCATTCCAATTGGTACATAAAAGCATATAATAATTATATATATTATTTTTTTTTTAATACCTAACTTTTTAAAAATTCTCCTTTCCTTCCTTCGATCAAAATAGTAAAATCATCGTTAATACAAGTGTTTATGCTCATCTTGGATATATTCACTATGTCAATATTATTATATAATTTTTATAATAATTATAAAACTCGTCAAATTATACTCGATCAAACTCGTGAATTCGAACGGTACGGTCCCGAATTACCTAGTATCACATCGTAAGTAATTTTTTTAGAAATTACTTTTAAAAATGTATCTTTTTAATAATAAGCGTGATCGAACCTTAGATCGAAATTTTGGCTTTGTGTTATGCCGCCACTACACATCCCATTAAACATAAAAGTATTCAGAGATAGTGAGTATAATTTTTTTTTTTTTTTTTAAAAAAAAAGGACTATTTTCATAATTATAAAGAATTAAATTAATCTAACTTTCTTTTAATCCCTTTACGTATGTATATCAAAAGTTACATATGGAACACAAGAAGAATTACGACAAGTTGGTAAAGAAAATGAATTTTACTTAAAATTAGATATTTATATACCAAAATATTCACAAAAAAAAGATCCACTTCCAGTAATGTTATTTATACATGGTGGTAATTGGATGTCAATGGATAAATTAATACCATTTCCTCAACCATGGTATTTATCAAGTAATAATTGGATAGTATGTTCAATTAATTATCGTTTAGCACCAAAAAATCCTTATCCCGCTTGTTTAATAGATTGTAAAAGAGCATTAAGGTGGATTAAAAAAAATATTGTTTCGTATGGAGGAGATCCAAATTTTGTTGCTGTATCGGGTGATTCAGCTGGCGGTCATTTGGCTGCTTTGATGGCTCTTACTGCTAATGATAAACTTTATCAACCAGGATTTGAACAAATTGATACTAAAGTACAAGCTTGTGTTGGTATTAATGGTATTTATGATGTTACAAATAAACATAAAGCTTTTAACCCTGAATGGTTTTCATTGGAAATTTGTGGTAAAAATCCCAGTAATATGAGCGAGGATAGTATTCGGGAAATGTTAGAGAATGCTTCTCCTGAAGTTTTAGTAGAAAGAAAGGGTAATCTTAATGAAGAATTTGTACCTTTTTTGATAATTCAGTAAGTATATTTTTAAATGGATAGGTTGGACAAAGAATTTTTTTTAAAAAAAAAATATTTCTTTTTGTGTAGTGGAGATAATGACCAATTAATAAATATAAAGAGTTGTAGAGAATTTGTAAAAACATTTCGTAATAGTGCACCTAACTCTAAACTTGTTTCAATAGAACTTCCGGTAAGTAAATTTATTTGTAATTTATTATTTCTGGGACCGATAATTGATTGTTTTTTTATTTTCGCGGGTACTGTCTCAATTTAGGGAGCACATCATGGATATCATTTTGTATCATCACCACGTACACATTATTCTATGATTGCTATGTTACGTTTCTTAAACTGGGCTTATCATACTTCTTTAAACAATAACAAATAATAAAATGAAAAGAATTTTTATTTTTGTTAAGAATAATAAAAAGATTCTAACCGGATTAAAAAAAATTATATACAAAAGATTGGTTGATTTCGTTACAATTTCCTTAATAGTATAATGAACATAATTATCTTATTAATATAAAGCACTCTTTTTTAAGGAGTAATAGTAATAGTTATTACTGAAAAACAATAATGCATTATGTTATTATTGTATTATAATTAAAATCATTTAAGCCAATAATACAATAATCTTGTAACATAAAATAAAATTATTTACGATCTTTCTTTTTTTTTTTAGTAATGTTTTAGCATATTTAGTATATCCTATAAATAGCATCAAGTGTCAAATAATGGCCTATTTTTTCTTCTTAGTAATATTTTTACCAGGAAACCAAGGAATCAATCTACTGGTATTTTTTTTATACAATTCATACATCGGATATTTCTTTCTAGAAATAGTTTCAGTTAAATGAGTAGTAATTTGAAATAGTATAGTCAAACTCAAGGTTCCAATCATCGTCCAATTTAATATCCATTGTGATTTAGAAGAAGCGGCAGCGATAGAAAATATGTAATAACTCCACCAAATTCCCATTTCACAAAAGTAATTTGGATGTCTTAAAAAGTAAATAAATTTATATGAAATTTAAACTTATAAAGTTTTTCAACCATTTTGACACTTTTTTAATTAAAACAATTTAAATAACTACCTTGAATAACGGAATAGACCACGAGTAATAAATCCAAAAGAGTAATCCCCTTCAAAAATCGCCGTCCTTTTTAAATTTTCATTGGCTTTGGCGATTAATTTATATTTTTCACTTTGAAATCTCCATTGTTGATTATCGGAAACAATTTCTCCTATAAGGAATCCGATAAACAATATACTAGCAAATAAATCCCATAAATTTAATGAAGAAGTAGGGGCAGAATACCAAACAGCGTAAGACGGGAATGTCATAGCCAATAGTAGAAAACATTGGTATAACGATATAAAAATTATATTTAGAACTTCAAATATAATCCAATGGATACGGTATTTTACAATTGACCATCTACGATCGCAATCGAGAAAAGAGAATGAGCGAAATACCCTTTTTTATAAGTTTAAAGAAAGTCAACTTTGAATATTACCTATAGTCTTCACTTTCCCATTTATAACCACCTTTACGTGCGTAATTATAAGTTAAGCGTGCTCCCCATATTGTAGTAAGCAAGCAAAGTATAACACCACGTGCATTCAAATTACAAGAGTTAAAAATACTTTCATTTGGTAAACTTATTGATGATGATTTCCAACATCCATGAAGAATAAAATGCCACGTGAAAATAACAGGAAGAATACTCCAAAGTCTATCAACCTTATTTAAATAAGGAAGTTTGTCAATTAATATAAAAAAGAATAATTTTATTTTAATCGGAAAAAATAATTATGTACATGAGATAAAATTTAAAATTTTAAAATATTGCCCACCAAACCACCTCGCTCTCATAAATACCTGAGAAAAGTTTCTGGTAATAGTACTTAAGATCCAAACCCACAAAGCAAAAGCAAGACATAAAATAATCGCTGACGTAAGTGGATCAGAGTATACATAAGCGTTTTTTACTGAAAAAATCAAGCTTCCAAAGTTTTTAGTCTTTAGCACTGTAACCCATTCGTCAAAGTTCATAACATTATTGATAAGGTCACTAAGAAGTGGTTTAACATGATAAGTGAAGCTTGGAAAATCTGTCATTGTGAAATAGTAAGGTCGTTTAAAGAAGAAAAAGAAAAAAAAGTAAATGTTCTGACACGAGTTAGACGCGTCTTCCTAACACGTCACTATTTCATATTTAAAATTAATTATATAATGAACCAAATATAGTAAGATCTTGAAAACACGCGCTAACTGTACTACTCTGCATTATGCATGAATGATCACCAATTAGGAGACGTCAAGAAGTTGTATTAATGCTCGTAATTTATACTGTTAAACTGCGCAGAGGACTTGAAGAATTATTCAATAACGATGACACTAGTACATTATTAACATAATTCACTAACACGAATATTGGAATAACATCAAATATAACTTTGATAAGCTGGAAAATAGAAATATATTCCAAACAAACAACAATCTAGGTAGATTAGAAAAATCCTGCACGAGAATTTTATAATAAATAATGACTTCACACTCGGCACAAAAACAATTGGACCGAGAAGAACAACAAGTGGATCAAGAGCGATCCACTGAACAGAAGCAAGAGAAAGTAGATCAGAAACTTACAATTGTACCACCACCAGTTTCAACTTCGGCACCACCTTCACCTTCTACTTCACCACCAATTTCACCGTCTCAACAACCTCAACAACCTCAAATACAAAATCGATTTTCAGGTTATTTAACAGACAACGTATGGTACGAGGTATTTCGTCAATTATACTATGATCTAGGAGAACATCTTCATAGTTGTTTATTAGTAAATACACAATTTTTTCGTAATGCAGTACCATTTTTTTGGAGAGATGTAAAAATTATATATTTTAGTCAACTATATTCTTTTGTTCGTATCCTCTCGACAGATCCTAAAGATCAAACACTACCCTACGCAAGATATATTAGAACAATGTATATAACAGCAAAAACTCCACGTACACCAAATAAAACCCATTCAGCCGAACTAGCAAGTTTATTATATCAATTAGCTAGTATAGATGTCAATTGGAGATTATTATCATTTATATTGGAATTAGATTGGAAAGATTGTGAAGAACCTACTATGTGGACTAATTTTTTTGCTAAAATTGGAAAACATTTGGAACATGTTGCTCTACATGGTTCTTCCCCTTTCCTGAGAGATACTTTATCATTTTCTGCAGGAGAATTTTGTCCTAACCTTAAAGTTCTCACTTTGGTAAGTTATACATCTTTTTCATTAAAAAAAATGAAGTATTTACTTTTTATTAACTTTTGATCTTTTTAGGAATCAAGATATTTTAATGGATACGGAATTGTTAATGTAGCTGAAAAATGTTCCCTTACTGAATTAAGTATTTGGTGTCGTCAAGTAACAAGTTCTGTTGTTCTTGTATGTATCAATTTATGATTGAAGTTTGTTTTTAAAAAAAAGATTATAATCACTGACAATTTTCTTTATTTCTTTAGTCAATTCTTAAAGGAAGAAGTGCTCAAACATTACAAAAATTAACAATAAAAAATTGTGATCTTGATGATAAGCCTTTGTTAAATTCAATAACGACACCAGAAGGATATGACAATGATGATATGCCCAGTACAAGTAATAATGAGAATATAATACAATTCTCATACTTTTCTTCATCGTCGAAAGACAATTCATCAAACATATCAATATTACCAATATTACCAAAATTAAAATCATTTTCTTATATACAATCATATCCATTTAAAACTGGTAATAAATTTACTTCATCGGGTTTATTAAGATTATTGAGTACGTGCCCAAATTTAACGGAATTAACTTTAGTGGTGTCAAATTCTTCAAAAATTGTTAATGATACTTCAATAGAAAAAATTGTTAAAAGATTCCCTCTTGATAGTTTTGAAATCGTTAATCCACATAGTAATCAATTACCCTTTCATCCTTTAGACAATTATGATGTTACTATTGAGGGACTTAAAAGGGCTATTGAACGTAAACCTGATTTAAGATTAAGAGTTGGCGCATTTGATAGTATGGTATCCTAATTCAACTTTTTTAACTTTTTTTTTTTTTTTCAAAAAAAAAATTTTAATTTATAACATTTATATTACGGGGTGGGTCAAGGATAAGGTTATTAAATTCAAATTTTTTTTTTTTTTTTATTTTTTTCACACTTGCATGCATATATAATCCATCATAATGTTCTTTAGAATTTTTTTTTCAATATCTGCACTATATATAAATGCACTTTATACATTAATATCATTAGTACAATACGAAATTTAGTAGCTGAATTAAATCATCATTCACAAAAAATAAAGTTTCTAAATTATTTTAAAAAGACTTTTTTAAATAAGGTTTGAATTATACAATTTTTATAACTTCATTTGATAATCAATATATATATATTATAAATAATTAAATATTGTGTTTTTTCTAAGTTAATTGGTTTCATATAAATGCATTAAAAAATAAATACAATTAAAATAACATCAAAAATGAAAAAAATGAAAACATGAATCATAACTATAAATTCAAATAATTTGTTTGTTAATCATTTTTGTTATGATGTCTTTGTTGATTTTGCTGTTGAATACTTTTCTTTATATTCTTAAACTTTTCCCAATTATTTTTTAGAATCCTACAAAAGAAAAAAAATCGTGTTTAGTAAACCTGTACGATATCGGTATATCAGGTGCTATTTATCTACTGGGAATGTATAGCGCTTAATAGCTAAATGCTAATAGTTGAAGCTTTAAGTAAAGTTTCCAGTAAGGTAGCAATGCCAAAATGACCAAACTATTAGTGAAATTAAGTAATTAAAAGTTATTGTTGGAGCTTTACCTCATTCTTTGAATAGCAATGACAGCGTTTACGGCACCCTTAAGCTTTATAAGAGATTGTGGCATATATTTAATTCGCGACGAATTCTGTATCAACAGTAATGTAGCATGTTCACTATAATATAATGATCATAAATAAACACGTTTTTTTTTTTTAAAAAAAAAGTGATTAAGTGAAAAAAAAAAAAAAAAAAAAAAAAAAAAAAAAAAAAATAGCCGACTTATAATATTACCATGACTCAGTGCCACCCATTAAAATCATTAAGAACCTCTTTTGGTAACATAAATCGGCTCGGAATCCGGTTTCTCTATGAGATCTAGCTTTAAGAAATTTTACTTCTTTAAGAAGAAGATTACAATCCTCTACGTGCTGTTTTTTTTCATCTCTATACTTTTGTTTGTAATCTTCAACCTTTTTTACAAGTTATGTTCAAAACATCAAAAATACGAAAAATAAATTTTTAACAATTATTTGTAACAAATTAAAAAATTGTCATGAATCCTTTTTACCTCTTCATCCCATTGAGCGTTAGTTTCTTGATCCATTCTATTAAAAGAATAGGAGATTAAAATCCAAACAAATGAAAAAAAACAGAACATTTTAATCTAAACCTACTTTTCTTTTCTTAAAACTTTGACCTGTGTATTAAGTATTTGCAAATTGTCTTTTAATTGTCTATTTTCTTCCACTAATTGGAAGTGTTCATTGCTGTTTATTGTTGACTTTTGTTTTTCCAACTTAGCTATTTTGACCGAAAGTTCACGATAGCGTTCTCGCTCAGATTGCAGTTGATCTTCGTAATTAGATAATTGTGTATTCTTTTCTTGATGATCGCGACGTTCGGATTGTAATTGTTCGGTTACGTTTTCTATTTCGACTCCAAGTGCTTTCATGTGTTCAATTTTAGCACGTATTTCTTCTTCTAAGGAATCTTTTATCTATAGGCAAATAATAATAAAAAAGGCGTTTAGATATAAATGATGACATACACCCTATAAATATCACAAATACCTCATTAGCGACTCTGTTTTGGTTTTTCAAAATAGTTATTTCTTTAAGAGCATTATTTTTTATCTTATTTAATTGAACCTTCGACTCCTGTTCTTGTTTAAGAGCTGCTTCAAGGTCAGCTATTCTTTGACTTGCTCTCTCGGCTGACACTTCCTTTTCTGAATATAGTATAATAAATATTAATATAAAATATAGATATTTCTTTACATATCAAAATCTTTTACCTTTTTGTAAGTTACGTATTTGTTTGTTTAACTCTGCAGATGAAGCTTGTTTTGATTGGTATCTAACAGACTCCTTTTCAAAATTTTCAACTTTCCGTTGCAATTCTGTTCTCTCTTTGATTAAGGTAGCCTTTTCTAATGTCAAAGTCTTTTTTTCAGCACTGACAGATGACAATTCGGCATCCAAATCTTTGATTTTAGAGGTTAATTTTTCGATTTCCTGAATAAATAAAAATTTAGTTAACAAGTCAAATAAGGTATTCAAAAAACACATTTTTATATACCTTTTGTAAGTCTTTAATTTCTTTTTGATGAGTCTCTTTTAATGCTCGATTCTTTTTAGCTATTGTTTCCTTTTCTTTCTGCCATGCTTCTTGAAGTTTATTATGACCAGCTTCTATTTCTGCTAATTGTTGTACCTTTATATTTTTATTGGCCTCTTGTAGAGTTTTACGCTCTTTAGTCCAACGATGCTTCAAAGCCTCCAGATCAGCTTGATGAGTTTCAACTAAACCTGACCAGTCTTTTCTTAATTTTTCGTACTGTTGGACTTGTTCCTTAAGGGCCGCTTCAGTTTGGTGATATTTCTCCTCAAATTTTTCTGCTTGCAACTTGAAATCTTGAAGTTGCTGTGATGAATTATTCACTTGAGTTATTAAACTTTCTATTCGTAATTTCATTTCTTTTTCTTTACTTGAACTAGATACTTGAAGTTCCTTAACCATTTCTCTTAAAGTTGAGTTGGTCTCAACTTCTTGTAGCCAAAGGTTGCAAAGTTCCCCACATTTAGTTAATAGATCATTTTTAACATCAGGGTCGACACTACCCTTATCAACTTTCTTCAAATTAGTCAAAGTAGACAAAGTATTCTTTAATGCTTTTACTTGCTCATCTTTCTGTTGAAATAAACCAAGGTTAGCCTCATAATCTGCGATAACTTGACCCTGAGCAGCAACCAATCTTCGTAGTTTTTCTGTTTCTCTTTGATGATTATCCATTTCTTGAACGACTAAAATGGAAGCACTGTTATTGGAAATAATTTGTTCTTCGTCTGTCAAATTTGATAATAACGAAAATAATTCTTTAATTTGCATGGATAATTGTAAATTATCCGTTGCCAGTTCATGACCGCTTGTTATCAAGACGTTAATTTGATTTTTGGTCTCGGTACTACCATCTTCCAAACGCTTACGACTGGCTGTAAAATCTATAAAATATAATGAAGTTTTGAAAAGTTGAATATTAATATTCATCAGATGAATTCAAAATAAAATAAGACAATAATAAATACCTTTTAACAATTCTTTGTGTAATTTAGAAAATGTTGCAAATTTCGACACATATTTTTCTAATGTCGGAGCCAATTCTTTAAATAAATGAATACCATCTGTCATTTCCGATTTGTTACGTTCTTGATCTAACATTGCGGACGCGAAATTCTCAATCTGAGATACAAACTGTGTTGGAGATTTAATGATACTACTTCCAGCTTTAACTATAGCTTGTAAATCCTGACGCTTAACCTCAACCGTATCATTCGAGTTGTTGTTTGTAACATTAGAAGTTTTACTTAATCGAGAGTTGAGTCGACTTTGCTTCTTGGAAGGTGAATTCGAAAGAGCTGCTTCTACTAAACGTTTTAAATGACTAGCATTTTCTTCCATAACTTTTTGCATATCCGCAGTTTGTTGATGCAATCCTTCCAATAAGGATTGAACATTTTGCATCGATGATGGATCATTTGTTGTTTGGTTGTTATTACCGTGAGATAAATTATTTTGTTGCGCGATAACTCGTATAAGTTCATCCATATATTCAACAGTCTGGAGATTATTCTTAAGAGTCGCATCAATATCTCTTTCAAACCTATTTTATTACGAGATTCAGAAAAAGGATTTATGTTAATTGTAAAATTTATGTATTAATTAAATTCGATATTTTAATAACGAATATACTTACATGACACTACGATTGGATATTACGTTATTTGGAGTATCTCGTGTACTATCATCAGAGTTAACACCACCACATCGGGGACATTTTCCGTTTTGCAATTGTGCTTCTAAATCGGCGACATGATGTTGTTTACGTATTAGTTCATCTCTCAACAATACGATAGTTTTATCTGTGGTTTGTACACATTCTTCCATAAAATGTATTTTTTTTCGAGCATCTTCAAGTTTCTGAGAAAGATCACGAGCCATATATAACGCCTTCTCGAGATCAAAATTCTTAGATTCTAACTGTTCATTTAGATTGTCTATTTGAGTTTTAAGTGATTTCATTTCAGGTTGAATGGATCTTATACTTGATCTACGAGGAGTAAGAGTCGATCGACGATTTAAAGAAATTTCACCATTACGCAATAACGAAAAATCTTGTGATAAAGTAATGTCCATGACCTACATTTATTTATTAATATTTTAATTGTTTGTTAAAAAACAAAAAAAGTGGTTTAATTAAAAAAAATATTCAAAAACATATACCTTATCATCAGAATAAATTGAAGATGTCATCAATTCGCTAATGCCTTCAACGATTTCACCTCGAGTTCTTTCACCAGGTCGGGTTAAAACTGATTTTGAAAAAGACTTGCTTTGTTCTTTTATTAATTTCTCTTCCCTTGACCTAAGTATTCGTTTAAGTTCATCGTTTTTAAGCTGAAGCTCCTGGATTGTAGCGGATTTAACACTATCTAATGCTTTCTGTGCTGCTTCGGAAAGCTGATACCTAAGTTTTCCGTTTTCAGTATTGGCTTTGTCGAGTTTAGTTTGCATTTCTTCAATCATTTGTTCGTATTGATAAACCAATGAATTACCACCGGAACTTATAGTACTGACTGATGCAGTATCATTATTTTGATCCCTATTACGAACTTCCTGAATAGCATTTTGTAATTGTAGATTTTTTGATTTCATCTCTAGCTCATTTAAATCAATCTTGGATTTAAGATCTGCAATTTCAGCCTCTCTATCCATTAATAATTTTTTTGTAGTATCAAAGGACTGTCTCAATTCGTTTAACTGTGAAACTTGATCTTTTTGAGCCGTTAATTCAGCCTCAAGAGAAGCACATTTAGTTCGATGTGCTAAAACTTCACTTTCTAAAAATACGAGTCTTTCTTCATCATCTGATCCCGTACTTGTTGATCCATTACGATTATTTGAGTTTTGAACTGATTTAGACTGCGATTCAAAATTTTTTACAAGTTCGTTCATTTCATTCAATTGAATTTCAATCCTCTGGATTTTATCATTAGCCGCCAAAATTTCATTTGAAAGGTTGGAATTATTTTCTTTAAGTTTATCCCTCTCATTTCGAATATGTAAAAGTATTTCTCTTGCTTTGACAGCATCACTAGAACTCTTACTTTTTGGTTCTAATTCACTAATTTCACCAAAAACATCTTTCAATTCTTGCAAATATTGGCCCATATACGTTAATTTCTGTTCCATTTCTTCATGTTGAGTGAGAAGAGAATCTACATCTTGTTCAGTTGCTTTAACTTGAGATTCCAAGCTATCCCTTTCCGCTTTCAATATTTCATTCTCTTCTATCAACCTTGTTATCTCTTCCGAACAATTAGAACGAACCGTAGAGAGTTGAGATTTTTGCTCTTCAAAACGTTCATTTGTTGAATTGATCTTTTTAGTTGTTAGATCAATATCACTAGTGATATCTTCTAACTCATATACTAATTTTTCTTTCTCAGAACTCAAAGTATCTTTCCGAGATTGTAATTCATTTTTCTGATTTTCAAGAAATCTAATTTGTTTTTCCAAATTTCGGTTTGTTTCTCCTAATGTTTTAAGTCGAGATTCATATCTTTTATTTTCAGTTTCATATTCTACATTCCATTCAGCACATTGACCACGAGCGGAAGCTAATTGCTCACTAAGTTCACCTGTTTCCTTCACAAGATCATCAATTTTTTTATTATCCGTCTCTTTTTGAGAATTATGTAGAGACTCTAATTGTTTGTAATCTACCGATAAACGGTCGAAATTGCTCGTTAACTTTGTATTTAGATCAGATAATTTTGTTCTCTCTAAAGTAAGCTTTGAAACTTGATCTTTTAAGTCTTGAATTTCCTCTTCAGATATTTGACGATTATTTACTACAGAAGAATAATCTTCTGATAATTTACTAATACGAGATTTATATGAATTTATTCGTTCTTCGCCATCACGACGTAATTCTTGAAGTTCTTTTTCTAATTTTGGTACAATATCAGAAGGCATATCGCGTTTTTCTTCTTCACGAGCGAGCATCTCTTCTTGAGCTAACTCCTTTTCAGTTTCCAAAAGGTCCAATCTTTCTTTAAATTCTTCATTAGATCTTTTTAAAAGTTCATTTGACTGTTTATAAAGAGTCAATTCATTTTCCAAAGAATTTAATTCTTCGGTAAGACTCATGACGTAAGGATGAGATTGTAAAGTTTCTTTTTCTTCTTCGTCACAATCCTCAAAATCATACTCTTCGTGTAATAAATTATTCTTAAGATATATCGCATTTATGTTTTCATTATTAATTTCGTCATCGGAATCATAGTCTTGTCCGACAATGGAAGTTTTTTCAGGTACAGAAGCTTTTCCTTTACGAGATATGTCGTAAGGTTTACTTATGGTTGAAATACGATCTTCTAAATCACGTAAATAAGTGTTAGAGGAGTCGGGACTACTCATGTTGTTTTTTTTGTTAACTGTCAAGAATTAATAAACAAAGTTTATTATAATGTAATAAAAGTTTTTCTTTTTGCTCGTAAAAAAAAAAAAAAAATATTATTATCGTTATTATCGTTATTATCGTAGGGATATAAAAATTATTATAATTAATTATAATTATTATTATTTCTGTATAAGAGAAAGAGAAAAAAAGTATCTTTTTTTTTTTTCACAAAATTAAAATCGTTTTTTTTAAAATATAAACATAACAAAAAAGAAAGAGAAAATGAAAAATACAATTTGTTTTTTTTTGATAAACAGCGTAAACAGCGTAAACATATATTAAAAACGAGTTTTTTTTTTTTTCGTCACCACTTTTTTTTTTATCAAAAAAGTTGATTGTCAATGTTACACAACAAACTCATTTCGAAAAAGGAAACACTTCATTGCTTACACTTTGTTTACATAATGATAGGCTGGGATTCCTGGGAATATTCATTTACAATCGGAAATTTATAGCGTTATCTTCTCCTTTTCTTTTCTTTTATACTTTATTTTTTTCCTTTCTTCCTCTTTTTTTTAAAAATCAAAAAATCATGGTTCAAGCACAAGAATGGTTGGATAAAAAATATCCTAAAGAAATAAGAAGTAATATAACAGAAATAAATATTAGTAAAAATTACAATATATTAGAAAATGAATATCTTGTAGGAAATTTAAAATTAGAAGGATTTAAAAATTTAAAAAAATTTGATTGTAGTAGAAATTCTATTACAAATCTTGATATGAATGATAGTATTAATATAAAAAAATTAAAATGTTCATCAAATAAAATTCAAATATTAAAAATAGAAAAATTAATTAAAATTAAAGTAATAGAATGTGAAAATAATCAAATAATTGAATTAAATTTAAATTCTTTTAAAAATTTAGAAAAATTAAATTGTTGTGGTAATAAATTAAAAGAATTAAAAATTAATAATTTAAATAATTTAGAATTATTATATTGTTCATATAATAAATTAATTAATTTAAATTTAATTAATTGTTTAAATCTTAATAAGATTAATTGTGATAATAATAAGATTAAAGAAATTAAATTACCATTAAATAATCAAAGATTAGAAATATTAAATTTAAATAGTAATAATTTATTATATCAAGATTTAAATATTTTTAGTAAATTTATTAATTTAAAAAGATTAGATATAGGAAATAATGAATTTAAAGAAAGGAAATATAATAAATTTTATGGTTCTTTAGAATTATTAAAAAATCTTGAAAAATTAGAATATTTAGAAATTAGTGATACTGATATAGATAAAGGTTTAGAATATTTATCTGATAGTGTTGAAGAAATTGGTTGTTCAATTTTTAATAGAGGTCAATGTGGTGTAAAGAAAATTAAGGATAAACTTTGTTTATTCGTTTCTTTTGAAGATGATGGATATTTTACTTGTAAATTTCAACCTTGGAAAATGTTGAATAAATTGGAAGAAAAAAATAAACAACTTGAAAAAGATTTTGAAGAGGAAAGATCCATTCGTATTTCTTTACAAGATCAAATTAATGAATATTTTCAAAAAAATTTACAATTACAAAATGATTTGCGGCAAATCGATATGGAAAATCAACAATTACAAAAAAAGTTGTCAAATTTACAAATCCAAAATATAAATCAACAATCAGATTCAATTATCCATCAATTTTCCGCTTTTGAAAATCAAATTGAAGAATTTGATGATTCTTTCCAAGAAGAAGAAGAAGAAGAAGAAGAAGGATCGGATTGTTCGTTTGAAGTAGTTTCTCAAGAAATTATAGAATAATTGACGTTGTTATAACCAGCGTGTGTTTTTGCGTGTTATAACTTGTTATAACCAGCATGATATAAATAGCGTGTGTATTTGTTATAACCAGCGTGTATTTTTATTTTATTATATTATATTATATTATATTATATGTATTTATTTTTATCAATTAAATAAAGTATTATTTTTATCAATTTGATGTGTGCTTTGCGTTTGATTTAATACATACTGTACTTTTATAATTCAGCCGCTAATAAACGGTTTGATTTTAGTTTGATTTAGCACATAATTATAAATAAATTGTTTTTACTTTAAGAAGTGTGGTTCACTAATAAATCTATGTTGTAATTGTATTTTTCCGAATAAAATCATGTGACAAATAATTTTTACAAGCCTGAACCTTTCCTCTTTTGGTTAAAATATATATTATATTATCGTTCTGTAATATATGTCACATGTTGCTTGAAATTTCATTTGTGTGGCTGACCCTTGTAGCGGGAATCTATGTTTGGAGATTTTTGATATCTTAAATCTTTCCGTAATTAAGTTCTTCAATGAATTTAAAATGATTGAGTAACGATAACTTTCAAAAAAATTCTTTCATTTATGCAAAGTATGCTTAATCTGATTACCCCCCCAGTTTGGTCAAACAATTTGAAATAAAAATATGCAAATTTTGCATTTTTGTGTTTAATCTCTCCGTTATCCGTTTTAAACAATGTTTAATTTTACTATTTTCTATATTTAAACTTTACCCATTATAAAAATAGCCGTTAAGAATCAGGGTTTTTTTTTTTTCTTTCCGTGATGGGATTTTTCATTTAAATTTCATTAGACACGAAAAATAAAAACTTGTTCTTTACATTTTTTTTAATAATTTAATTTTTTTTCTCTTATATAATAATAAATAATAATCGTAATAATCTTTTTTTATTTATTTTTTTTTGAATATTTCTTTATTTTAATAAATTTTACCGTGTAAAAGACTTTATAACTTTAAGATGAACCATTTTAATTTTATGATAATTTTAGTTAGTTTATTAGCTTTAAGTTTATTAAATTCTGTCGATTTTGTCTCATGTCAAGATCCAGCACCAGCACCAGCTCCAGGAACTCCAGCTCCAGGAACTCCTGCTCCTGCTCCAGCTCCAGAAACTCCAGCTCCTGCTCCTGCTGCTCCAGTAATAATACCTACCACTATCGGAACTATAACAAGTAAAATATTATTTATTTAACATTTTATATTATGTCCAAATAATAATAACCCTAATTTCAAATTAGAGGAACCTGATTTATCATCAGTACCACAAGGTCTTCTTGTGCCAAAAGGAAATAATTTTGCTTTCATACTTAACGCGCGTGGAAATCAAAAATATCAATGTGTCTCCACTTCCAAACAATGGTTACATGGTATGTTTTAAATTCCCTTCTCTAACGCGTTTTACTTTTACTTTTACTTATGAATCACGTGTTATTTTTCATGATAGTTGATTCTGAAGCTATGCTCATCAACGACAAAAATGATATACAACAACATTTTGATCCCGCTTTTGTAGTAGTACAACACAATACAACCAAGACGCGTAAGTTCAATTCCATTAATTATTTACTATTATTTTATCATCTTTAAACCTAACAAACCTAACGAATTATTATAATTTACTTAGCTACTCAGGGTGGAAATTATACTTGGAATTCCTTACTCCCAAGTGATAATAGCCAAGTAATTGCTAAGGTCGTAAATTCTGCTGATTCCCCCCAAAGTACTAATAATGTACCTTGGGAATTAAATGTCGCCACAGTGAGTATAAAATTAATTGTATTATGTATTAAACGTATTGAGCTTATAAATTAACATTATCTTTTCAAAAAAAAAAAAAAGTTTAGGAGTGATGCAGGTAGACTTAGCAAGATATCATATATCCTTAAAATAAATACAAATGGTGGTGCTGCCCCTCCTACGGATCAATGTAAATAACAATAATTTATCGAAATTTATTTATTATATTTTAAACCTATCTTTTAATATTATTCTTCATTTCATAGGCGGGGTACAATATATTGATGGTTTTATACAACCTGTTCAATACGAAGCTGATTATTTGTTTTATGAAGGTACTTTACCTGGTTCTGGTACACCTACTGATCAACCTGCTAACCCTTCTGAATCTGCTTCTTCGACATCTACTTCTAAGACTAATGATGGTTATTCTTCAAAACCAATTGGTCCTGGAAAATTGAGTTGGGTTGCCATTGTTGGATTTATTTCTGTTGGTGTTATATCATTCTAGAAAGTTAATATAAATTATATATATAATTTTCTCAAGAAAATTATTAATTTAAGAATCTGATAATACATCAGTACCAGTTAATAAAATGATTTATTTCTCTTTTAGAGATAAATAGGTTTAATTATTGTTTTGTTACTTGATTAAAGTTATGATTTTTCGTTTATATTTCTATATACTCAAAACCCGATATATATTTCATATATTTCAAAACTCGATATATTCGAAACCCGATAAAGTGATAAAATTGATCGTAATTTTTCACATTAAATCTTGTCAATATACCAAGTACCAATCTTAGAATATAGAATGTAAAGAAGTTTGCCCAAATGCCATTACGTTGACAATAATACCACCAAACGTTAAGCCATAAACCAAACAATTTATAGTATTGAAATAAAAACTATCATTAGTAAACCATATTGATAACAAAATGATAACAATGTATAAATTGATTAGATCTAAATAATTTTTTTTGTTTTCAAGAATTTCCTGATCTTCCCAGAATCCCAAACCCATAATTTACGATTTTTTTTATAAATTAGCAGATGATTTCTTAACAGATACGTATCCTGCTCATTTGCTGGCCACAAGTGGACGGCTGTCACTATTACTTTATTCGGGCTTCGGCACGAATCCCTTCAGGGCTGAGATGGTAGTATCAGGATCAGTTTTTTATCAAACAATAGCGTAAACTTATAGCTAATCTTATACACAAATTTTTTATATTACTATATAAGCTCTATTTATATCTTTAAACGATAAAAAATCTAATTTTTAAACGATTCAATTATTCCAAATTATTAGACAAATCTAATAGCTTTAGAATAAGTAGAACGTGAACCACTACCCCATTTATTATATAAACAATACAAAGTTCATGACCAAAAATGTCGGACTATAATCTTGTAAATGAAAGTATAAAACTATCTTTTGTAGATTTGTAACTATTACATGTATCCCATTGAAGTGGATTGCATCCTCCAACTATTTGTTTTGATATAACTATAGTGGCCCCTTTATTATCACATCTTTCATGAAATGTTGTGACCATCTCTACTAACACGATAAAAGTAATTTGAATTCATAGTAAGGAATAAGTCCAATTTTATTATAATCCACTATTTTTTTCTTTTCAATCCAACTAGCAAAGGTTTTTAAGTGATGAGATTCAATTATAGTTGAGCAAGGATATCTCGGAAGCTGTATATTAGTATTTGGTTTATGATTTGGTACTAAAGTATATTGTTCGGTAATAATGCTTTAAAGGGATATTTTTAAGAGGAAATCTTCCGAAAAAATATGATAAAATCTAACTAATGAAATAATCTGTTTAATCCTCTTTTCATTACTGTAAAATTATTTTTGTTCCATTTGTTAATGTCTTGTTGAATGATAGGTTGTTGTCTACACGTCCACTTTAATAAATTTTCCCAAACGGTAATTAGTTATTTCTAAAATAGCATAATGGAAAGAAATTTAATGGATTTCAATAAGCAATTATAAGTAAAACAAATTCCTTGAATACAAAAATCTCATAATTCATTAAAAAAAAACTTTGATAAATTAATTCAACAATTTTAAAAGTAATTTGATTATAAAATCTTCATGATTTTCAATCAAGATCTCTTGGATATGTGCAACTAAAAGTTGAAGTTCAAATTCTTATAATGATAATAAAAAGATTTAATATCACATGAGATTGTAATTTTATCAAATCGATACTTCCATTATATATATAACTTTTTTCAAAAGTTAATAAGAAGAAATTGTCATTAGACGAAGGAAAAAAAATTTCAATCTTTTAAAAAAATTCTTTAAAGATGAGTTGAAAAGTTTACCTTAAAAATATTCAATTACTTTAGGTGAATTATTTTAAAATAATCATCTACATCATCTTTTGTAGTAAATTTCTTTTTAAAAAAAATCGGATTGTGTTTTTTAATAGTACAAATGAATGAGCATGAAATTCTTTTATTTTTGATTTTTCATTAGCACATATTTTTACATCTTTAAAAAGAATTATTAATTATTCTTCATATAATTTCTTACCCATGATGCAAAACAGAGAGTATTTGATAAATACAATTTATTTATGATATTATACTATACTTAAAATGTATAAATAATGGTTTTTAAAGATCGCTTTTTGGAAATCTTTATAATTATTAAAATATTGGTGAGAAAAAAAAGTACATTTACTAATATATTTTAGGATAAGAACTATACATATTACTATACCAATATCATATATCGTTGTATCAAAATTATATACTGTATGCTCTCATATAGTGAAAAAGTAAAATTTTATCGGTATATCGAGTTTTTAATAACTATACGCTTTGAAAGTTGTAAATGAGAATATTAAACTTGGAACCAATTACTTGAATTCCCATTTAAATGAATTATTTTGATTCAAACTTATAATATTAACGGTTGTATTACCACCCCTATTAACGATAAATATATATAAGAAACTTCAGTCCAATTAGTAATTTTTCACGTCTGGTGCTTATATTGTTAAACAATCATTTATTAAAATATAAAGAATTAATTATTGGAATAAACCTGCTTTAAACCCTTTTTAAAAAACAATTCGGATCGTATTTTCGGTGTTTTTAATATAAATTGAATTCTTATTTTTTATATTATTGTATAACCTTCTTTAGTCTATCTATATTTTTAAGCGATTCAAATCTAATAGCTTGAAATGTTTCATAATCTTTTATAATAAATCTTACTGGTATACCAACTTTAGGATAAGAAAAACGTGGATTACTACCCCCATCTATTATTAAATCAATACAAGTCATTTACCAAATATTGAATCCTATGTAAGTGGATTAAATCCTCCAATTATTTGTTCCGAATATGTAATTTTTGCTACATGAAAATATATTATTCATTTTATTATCACAATTTTCATGTAATGATTTGATTTAATTGTATATATTCCATTACCATCTTTACTGGAAAGATAAATTAATTCAAATCTATGAGAGATATTTCCAACTACAAGATTTTTTTTCTTGTCAATTATCAATCCAATTAGAAATTATAATTAAATGTTGAGATTATAATAATTATGATGACACAAAATTTCATGGCTTATTAAAATTTCTTGAATGACCCGTAAACTAACAGATTGACCGAACGCTTTGACCGAATATTATGTGAAACTTTGGACCGAAAAAAAAAATCAATTTGTAACATTAGAAAGAACCAATTATAAAGTCAATGTTTTTATGTTGTCATACATGATTTGCACCTCGCTACACGCGTAAGAGTTGTTTCAACTTATACAACTACTTCGTTTAGTCATTACATACAAAAGTGTTGAACATGCCGCCAATACACTAAGCATTCCATTAATAAAAATTATGAAACAAGATGATATTTACAACGTACAAGTTCATTAATATAAAATCTTTCATATTATTTATTTATTAATAAGGAATATCAAAGGGAATTCGGTTTTTCTTAAATTGACTGAATGATTCGCTAAAATTGAATTTGCTAGAACTCTATTATTATGATCGAACCATTCTGTATATATAAATAAATAACTCTACTAAATAAAAACAATGCAATCATATCATAAAATTATATAAAATTCTTGTAAGAATCGATTACTACATACAATATCTTACATTTTCAAGAATTGCTGTCTCCCAGTAGTCCAGGTTAAGGACGCCCGTAGGATTATATTATCTCATGATAAATTATTAATAACTTGAAACACTTCATAATCCTCCGCTTACGCAATAATCCACAATTTTTTTCTTTTCAATCCAATTACCAAAGACCTTAAAGTGTTGAGAATTAATTATAGATGACCAACATCTTGAAAGTTGTATATTATCTGGTTTTTTATTTGGTACTAAATGATATTCAAGTATATTGTTAACCAAATCATTCGGTAATAATTCTTTAAAAGGATATATTTTTTTAAAAGAAAATCTTCTGAAGAAATATGATAAAGTTTAACTAATGGAATAAATCTGCTTAATCTTCTTTCCATTACTGTATATTCCATTTGTTAATGTCTTGTTGAATGATAGGTTGTTGTCCTCATGTCCACTTTAATAAATTTTCCCAAACGGTAATTAGTTATTTTTAAAATAGCAGGATTTAAGAAAAGAAATTTGATGGATTTCAATAAGTAATCCGAGGTCTTCAAGCTCATGCTAGAGGATATCTTTGGCAATACGTGAATATATGATACCTGGTAAACGTAGCATTCTCAGCCAGGACGTGTTGTTTCAATAAATCAAGTTCGGATTGCATGTTTGACAACAACTCTCATATAATACGCGATTTATTTAAAATGCATTTTACCCAAGTGGGACTTCATTTTTTTTATTAATCACATCCCTCAACAATACAGTAGATAGTGCAATAGAAAGGTTAAAATTTATTTACTGTGCTCATTTACATTTTTAGCAGATAAAGCAAAGAAAGTTTCTTCTTTTCTTCCTCTTTCTAATTTGACAAATATTAAAATAAACGAAAGATACAAGAGAAAAAAAAGTATAAGAGAAGTTAATTAATTCCTAGAAACTTTCCAAATGAAGTTTTACTAATCAACTATCAATAAAAAGCGAAAATAAAGTGATCAATAAAGCAGTGTTGTCAAATGACACATTGAAATAACATCAAATGACATCGACTTTACTATGAAGAAGTATGAGAAATGACAAATGTCATTTGAAAAATGGCCAAATGACATAGCAATTTAACAACACTGCAATAAAGAGTATTAATAATTGATGAAGCCGGATCAAATTATATCGATTTTCTTGTTCATGGGAGAGGAGAAGCCCATTTTATTGTCACTTACGCTTGAAGTTAAAGTAATTTTACGAGTAAAGTGTCCATCATGGCGCTCTTTAATTTTGTATGAGCCGCCTGAAAGTTGATCCTTCTTCATTTCGCCAGAAATTACATGTTGATTATTATTAAATACTGTTTAATATCTTCCTTCTTTAAGAATTTCAATACATTTGATTAAAATATATCATATTGTAAATATAAAAAAAAATTTATTTTGACAAAAATACAACTGATAGCTTCACATTTACGATAAAACTATTCTCTGCCACATAAAAGTCGGTTGTGAGTGTCCAAGTCGGTTTCATAGTTTCGTTATCTTCGTTGTCATCTGTGACAGCTGCCAGCTTTTTATTAAAACTAGGAAATGGGAACCGTTGGAGCGTCCAAAGCATTATAATCACATGATCATTAATAATTGTACGTCATTCTCTAATATTTTAAGAGCTTCAGTTGAAATGTTAAAGCAACCCGTAACCAATGAAAAAAAAATACTTACTCGCTGTCTTGCCCCTTTAGAATATGATAATTATTAACGTCAAAATTCATTGTTTCCATTATAGAGTTTATACTTTCTGTTAATTGTTTTTTGTTCACTTTCATCAGATTTCCTCCGATAAAAACAGATCGTTTGGGAGAGCAACAAAGCTTTCGTTTCTTGACCGAAAAACAAACGTTCTGAGCTAAAAAAACAAACGTAAAAAGTGTAAGCGTATATTATAATATTAACGGTTAGTATGTAATAAAATAAATTGAGGAAGTGCAGAGGCGTAATGTTGTAAAATATAGATGAAAGCAAACGTGAGAGCGAACGTGCGAACGAAATGTAGCAAACATAACGAACATAGCGAACGTAATAGCGAACATAGCGAACGTAGCGTAAAGAAATATGTAGCGAACGATGGCGTAAAACCGTTTTGCTTTCTATGATAAAGGAAGGAACATAACGGATTCCTCCTCCCAGAATCCGTAGACCTTCATCATCTACACTTCCTCAATAATTTTAAACTTACACATATTGAACCGCGATTACAGTAATACAAGAAAAACTTTTATAACTTTTATTCAAGAAATTATGATTATGATTAATTGATTTGTGTGAGTATTTATATTAGAATTACTGTTACACAAATTTTTGGTTATACTTTTATTATGTAGAACGCGTAAATATTTCTTTTATCAGACTTTAATAAAAAAAGTCAGTTAAAATTCTCTTTTTAAGGGTATCAATATTACTAATTCAGAATGCGATTTGCGATTTATACGATTTATAATATAAAAAAGTTAAATTTGACTTTTTCAATCACAATAGTTAACAATTGTTGTCGCGATGCTGAGCCACATGTCGATCACTTGGATTTTGTAAAATATCTCGAACGGCTCCTTGGTCTTTGGACGGACGGAATTCAACATTTCGAAGGCATACTTCGAAATATATATTTTTTTTTTTTTTATTTTTTTCAACGTAACGTTTATTAATGTTTTGTTTTTTCTTCTTTTTTATAGGTTCGGAGCAAAATAGATTGATGGATATATTAATAGAATTTGGGAAAGGAATGGTCAACATAAATTTGTGGTTCTGAAAAGTTTAAATAATTCAAAAGATATTAATAGCGAATTTATAAATAAGGTAAATAAGGTATAATTTTATTCATTGTCTAATGAAAACTTTCTTAAGTTTATTAAAATTATTTATTTATTTTTTTACTTTTATTATTAATGTGGATTAGAGTTTTTCTTCTTAGCCCTCTTGCCTTATGAACAATATTATCAGTAACAGTACAAACCTGAAAGGTTAGCGTATTGCAATCTATCGCAAAACTGCAACAGCGTCATCCTGTATATTCCCACAACCTGAAACATCTAAGGAGTAAAACAAAATTTCTTGAATCCAAAATTTATTTAAAAACTCTTTTTGATAAGTTAATTCAGCAATATATGATTTTTAATCAAGATTTCTTGGATATGTATAACTAAAGGTTAAAGTTCAAATTCGCTTAACTGTAATAATAAGAAAGATTCAAAATTTCAAGAAATTGCAATATTTTCAAATTGATACTTTACACAATACATATACAGTACCTACAAAAGAAATTGTTATTAAGCGAAAAAATTTTAATCTTAAAATTACCTTAAAATTAATTTCAAATACTTCAGGTGAATTATTTGAATTTATAATAAAATAATCATCTTTTTTTTTTGACACCATATTTTGTAATAAATTTCTTTTTAAAAATTTGGATTGTGTTCTTAATACGAATGAATGAGTATGAAATTCTTTTATATATGATTTTTCACCAGCATATATTATCACGTCGTAACCTTCTTTAGTTTCATAAAATTTCTTACCCATGACGAAAAATAAAAAGAATAGAAAATTACAATGAAGAGATATATATATAATATACTGTATGAACAGAGGATTTCGTCAGTACTATTTATATTACCCATTGTAAAATATATAAACAATGGTTTAAATATACTAATTCTCAATTTTTACTATAATTCAATTACAGTATATTATATATAATATTTGTGATTGAACTATAAAGCTGTTCCTGAAAAGTTTGAGGGGGGAGAGAATGTCAGAAAATTTCAGAAAACCGTAATTTAAATTTAAAGGGGCATTTAAGCATACAGTATATGCTATTATAAGTTTATCAAATTTAGATTTTTAAAGAAATAAAGGGGGGTGGGGTATGTCACGGTCTAATACTTATACGTTTATTAATATAATTTAAAATTGTTTATTTTGAAATACTCCGTAGTTTGTGGTATACCAACTTTAGATAAAAATCATAATTAACTATTATTATTACTATTACTACTACTTTTTACTAGACCACATATTATTTTTGCCAACTTAAATTTCAGCTAAACGTTGGCCCATAAAACTGACCACAAATACAGAATATTTATTATTAGTTATAACCTACTTTATTATTAGTTAGAAGGTTTATTCTATCTGTAAATGAATCCGAATCTGTAACTTTTACTATAACTATAATGGCCCCCTTATTATCACATTTTTTTCATGGAATGCTGCGGCTGTATTACCACTTTTACTAACAGATAAATTCGTAGTAAGGAATACATCCAACTTTATTATAATCTGCTATTTTTTTTCTTTTCAATCCAACTACCAAAGATTTTAAAATGTTGAGATTCAATTATAGTTGACCAATATCTTGGAAGTTGTATATTAATATATTTGCTAAATTATAGTGTAACCAAATCATTTGATAATAATTCTTTAAAAGGATATCTTCCGAAGAAATATCATATCTAATGGGATAAATCTGTTTAGTCTTCTTTCCATTATTGTAAAATCATTTTTATTCCATTTGTTAATATCTTGTTGAAATATGAGTTGCTGCCCACATGTCCACCTTAATAAATCTTCCCAAATGATATTTCATCAGTACAAAAATCGTCTCGTTTTAAAATTATCTCTAAAATGGAGGATAAATAAGTCATAAATGACAAATGACTTATTGAATCATGCAAGTCATATAGGCCATATGATGTCATGTGCCAACACTGGACTCTTTTAAAATTCGGATTGTTTTTAATACGAATTTATATTCGGGTATTCACCAGCATATATTTTCATATCGTAACCTTCTTTAGTTTCATATAATTATTAATTATTTCTTTCATATAATTTCTTATCTGGAAAGATATACTTGTATTACAATTATGTTATGAAGTTGATCGGTACTATTTTATAACACTTTTATATACTAAAATGTATTAAACAATGGTTTAAAATAGGTTACAGTTTTCCCAAATATATCTTTCCCGAAGTCATATTCTCCGATTGTTTATCCCCATTTCCCAAAGCTTCAATTTTCCTAATACTAATATCTCTAACGGACATTTTACTGAATTTGATATACAAGTGATTTGACCTCATGATGATTGCCAAGAGATCATGAGAATCAATGATCTATTCAGTAAAGTTACATCATATATGACAATAAATAATAACAAAGATTAAGGAATTATTGCGTTAAGAATTTTATTTCAAGCCATTTAAATTATAAAAAAAGTGTAGACTGGATATTGGTTGGAAATCAGGAAACAGATTTCAGAAAATGATCCAGTTTGGGGCGTCTGACTTCGGGGAATTTGGCGCTAAATGATATGAATAACACCCATCAAAATTTTTTGAAATTGATGATGCTAACCTTGATGTGTATATAATTATTAGTTTGTATGATGTCGATGAATATAAGATTAGATTTTTCAGCTCTGGGATTTAATAAACTAATTAGCTTTCAACAGAAACTTGATACTTATTTTAAGTATAGTACCTATAAAAGGGAAATTCCCTGGTTAATGGTTATGTAGAAAATATTGAAAGGGACATTTTTTGAGACACAAAATTTACACTTGTGTATCAGGGTTAGTGTTATCAGAAATTATAGGGGACAGTTATTTATGACCGCTACTGTAAAAGAAGAAATATGATTAAATCTAATTAATGGAATAAATTTAATATTTCATCAGTACAGTTTTAAATTATCTCTAAAATAGCAGGATTTAAGTAAGAAATTTAGTGGATTTAAATAAGCAATCAGAAATACAACACAAAAATTCCATAATTTATTTAAAAATAAGTAAAAATAAGTTAATTCGACAACTTCAACCCTATTTTTGATTATAAAAAAGGTTATATACGGATATCAAAGTTTAAATTACGGATTTCAACTAACAATGATTTACTTTGTTATAGGGATTCACAATAAAAATTCACTCCGCGTACAACTTGCAATGAATTTTTACCTCCGCGTACAGATTTACTCCAGAATTAAGGGGAAGTATGAATTCCGGCAAAAGTAATAATTCAGGAGTTTAAAAATAAATTTCAAAAATGTACGGATTTGTCCGCGGAAGTCTCACTAACAAAACTGTGGCGTATTCAGGGGCCTTGTCGTAACCTTCTTTGGTTTCATAAAGTTTATTAATAAAATTTCATATCCATGGCGAAAAACAAAAATAATATATATATGCGTAAACAATGGTTTTGCTGTTGTATTACCAATCGTATAATTCAATTTTGGATTAAATTAAAAATAATAAGCTAAATGATCACCATTATTACCCCCTTATTATCACGCCTTCTTGTTCACACTTCACACGCCTATTTTTTCCTTTCATTATCAAGAATGGCAAAAATGGCATGATTTTAAATAAATAATCGGGAATATCTAATTACAAATAAACAAAGGAATAATTCTTTTATACAGTACACACCAGCATTTATAATAGGAAATAAGGAGGCAATATACAAAGATTGTTTAACTTTACTTTTGATGATGCGGTGATCAATTATATTTACAGCTTCATATAAAAAATGCCGTATATTTGGAAAAAATCACCAAAACTTGTACACAATCAATCTAGGAATATTCCCGAAAAACCTTTTATATTTTATGTTGTCTCTCAAAATGATAATTTTTAGAGCTGAACTTTTATTTGTATATCTTTAAAAAAATCAATCAATTCGTGGAGTTCGATTTATTTCATTGTTAAAAGGTTTCGTCATTTAATAAAGGTCCACTTAGACAGGTTCCTGGTTAATAGTTGTTTCTATATTTTCTAGGCTAGGACTCATAGTCCTAAGCTAATCAATTCTTTGAAGATTTCTGATTGGAAATGTAAATTAAGTGAATAAGCTAAGAAAGGTTTTTAATTACGTCCATCTATATTTCGTCAATCACTATGTGATTTTTTTTTTTTTCATTCTCAGATTAAATAGAATAAGAATAAAAGAATTAATCGTCATTCATTATAAAAGGCCAACCACTTTAAAAGAACATTTTATCCTTTATTTTTTTTTTCATTCTTTACCTTCTTCCTAACCTTATTTCTTTTTAAAAAGGAAAAGTTATATAATTCATCTGATATTCTATATACATAATATAAAAATTTCATTATGTCCGAAAAAATAATAGTGAAAGTGAATAGAGAAGCAGCGAACACAGAATTAGAAAGGACAGCAGCAAGACAAGAAAAATTACGCAAAAAATTTGAAAATAAGTCGTTTTGGCCTCTTATCAAGTAATTATAATATAAAAAATATACATATAAATAAAAGTAGCTAAAAAGTAATTAATTGCTCTTTCTTTTTTTTTTTTTAATCAAATTACAGTCGAGGTCCTATAGGAACGTTATTTTATGGAAGTAAGTTTAATTTATCTAAATTGTTTTACTTTAATATGAATATATGATTAATAATAATTTCTCATTTTTATCATTGTCCTAGTGTTTTTATATCCAAAAGTATTTTTTGATCATTATATTATGGAGAATCCAACATATTCATTATCTATTTATCAAGAAACAATTCTTCGTTCAGTAAAATGGACTATGAAATCACCACTAAAGACATTACGTAAATCTGGAACGTTTGTGGAATTATTATTGAAGGTATTTCGATGTTCTGAACCATTTCGTTCATTAGATTCAGAAGTCACCACAAGGATAGGAGTAGAAGAAGGATATTGGTTAGGTCCAATAAAATATAAACAAAAAGAATGTGAAGCAACAATATTATATTTACATGGAGGTGGTTATGTTGCATTATCGTCATTAATTGGTTTAAGATCATTATGTTATTTGTTACGAAAATTACGCAAAAGATATAACAAACATGTTAGAGTTTTAGCAATCGATTATACTCTAGCTCCTGAAGATCCATTCCCTAATGGTTTAAATTGCGTGGAAAGAACTTATAATTGGTTAGTTAATAGTGGTCTTGCGGGTAGTAGAAATGTATTTTTATGCGGTGATTCTGCTGGAGGTGGATTAACATCAGCTTTATTACATAAATTATATTCGGATGATTCATCCACAACGACTCAGACTCCGTTACCACTTGGGGTGATATTAGTATCACCTTGGGTGGAATTATCATGTGATTCATCTTCATTTTCTACAAACGCTGAATTTGATTGGATACCACCTCATCTTTGCCAATTTGCTGCAGAATATTATATATACGGTAAAGAAGGTAATCCATCACGTAATAAAGATCAAATACCGCAACAACAACCAAAAATCAGAAAAGAAATAATTTTGGATTGGTTAGATAAAGTTGAAGATAATTTTGACTTTATTGATTTTGAAGGGAATCCTCATCTTAAAAGACTTAGTAGAGAATTAAGTAGAAGATTAAGTGGTAATAAAAGAAATAGTGAAATTAAAGCAAGAAAACGTGGATCAAGAGGTTCAAAAATTCAAACAAGAAATTCTCGTGTTCTTGACAGTTTTACTGAAGATGAAAATCTTACCGTCAATTCAGATGAAAATTTACGTATAAAACGTGAAAATTTAGATAAAAAATTACATCAATCGGTTGCATTTACCACAAAGGAAGAAAATCCTTATAAAGATCCATTTATTAGCCCTTTACATATCCCTCATCATATCATGGCAAAATTTCCTCCTTTATTCATTTCTTATGGTGGTAAAGAAATATTTAAGGATGATATTGAAAAGTTCGCCCAAAAATGTATTGAATCAAAGAAGGCTTATAAATCATTTGGTAATGATCATGTTTATGATACACTAGACGGTCAACATCCTGATGTTACGGTTGAAACTGATGAAGATATGGTTCATGATTATCCAATGTTTATAGATGTATTTGGTAAACGTTCCAAAAAAGCTCTTGATAGAATCGTTCACTTTATTGCAAATAATATACCATTACCAACTCCTGTTCATAATCATTATTCAAGGATAGTAAAATCTCGTCCTCGAATACAATCCCTTGATGAATCTGCCATTAAATTTTCTACTCTTCCTTCAAATTTTGCTCATGATGATAGAAAACATTCAATTTATTTAGGAGACCCTACAATTATGCAATCATTTCATACACTTCCTAATCCTCGTTCATTTCCTAATTCTCGACGTATTCCATCTATAGTTTATATACAATAATATCTATCTATTTTATATTATATTTTAATATTTTAATTTTAATTAAACTATTATTGGTATATTAAGAAAATTATTAATTAATTAATTCAGTTTGGATCATCCTACATTAACATGTTTTTTTAATTATCAAAATTATTCTCACCATAAATTCTTCTCACTAAAATCTCTTTTACGCTAATATAAATATTTATCAAAGTCCATATTTATAAATTATGCCTCCTGTTCCTTCGAACATAGAATTAACATCAGTTCATCCTCCGTCAAATAAATTAAAAGTTTTGCGTGTATTTAATGTCTTAACGATCTTGTTAAATTTCTTTTCAAATTCTTATTCTATGGTGTTTTCTCGTCCGAATGTTGGTGAAATAAGCAATAAAAATCCTACTTATTTTACTCCTTCATTAATTTTTGTTGGAATATTTTGGTTTATTCTATATATTTTACAATTTGGCTTTGCTTTTTACGCTCAATTTAGTAATATTCATATTGTACAGAGTGTAGTGGAAAATGGTGTTAGTTGGTGGTTCTCTCTTAGTAATTTGTTTTTGTGTGGATGGCTATTTTTTTGGGTAAATTATACGATTTTTACTAAATAATTATAAATACTTTATAAATAATTACTTGTTTTTTTTTGGTATTTTATATAGATACGCGAGAATTTTATTGTCTCGGAAATCTTTGTTCTCTTGATTCTGATATCTACATCAATGGCTCATAATTGGTTAATGACAAAATATACACCAAATCATCTTCCATCTTCTGTTGCAAATAAGATTGTTAAGTCCACCCATATCCCTTTTGCAATGTTTTCAGCTTTTTCTTGGTTAAGTTTATTTCATAATGGATTCGTCGCTTTTGCTCCAGGTTATGAACATGATGAATATGCTAATATCGCCGTCGTATTAGCTTGGTTTTTGGCTATAATTGGTATATGTTGGTGTATTACTGGTGTATTTAGTCATGGGAAAAGAGATGGTGTATTTAGTTTTACTATTGCTTGGTATATGTTTTAAAATTAATTTTACTTACTGTAAAAAGTTTTTTTTTTTAATTAATTAGTAATTAATCAATTAACAAATTTTTTTTTAAAAAAATATATATAGGGCACTCCTTGGAGTTGCTATTCACCAAAGGGAAACAAAAAATTTATCCATTACTTGTAATATATTAGCTCTTGCAGAATTTATAATTATTTTTATTGTATGGAATAGACATGGCGGAAATTCTCTTGAATTACTTAGAGCTGGAATTGGTTCAAGACCAACTAGAAGTAGAATTGCCAACTCGCGAAATGATATCAGAGAGCCTTTATTACCTCAGAATCGAGAAGAAATTTTTATTGATCATTAAATCATTGGTAAAACGTGAAGTATTATTAAATGAAATGAACATTTAAAATAATAGCAAACATTAATCTGTAAATAAAATTATTATGCATTCCACGTCGTAAGTGAAATTTATGTAGAGAAAATGGATAATGATAAACATTACGAAACCCCTTAAGGGAAAATTTTATGATTTAAAATGATTAATCAGATGAATCACATGATTTCTCTACAAAACGTTTTTAGCAATACAATATTCAACTAATTATAATAAAAAATATTCTAATATTAAGTTTTGTAAAATTAAACCTTTTTATTTATATATATTTCATTTAAATGTTTTGTTTATAACAATTACTTTTTCTTGAAAGCTGGATTCCAAGTTTCAGGTTCAAAATCATCACTAGGTATTGTTGGAGGCCTAAAAAGAAATTCACGTTTTTTGTCTCCTGTTTCCAATTTTTGATTATAAAATGAAATTATATTTAATAAGTATTATTCTCTCAACTTATAAATAATAGAATATATGTAAAATATTGTACCTTCAGTTTCTGGTTTAGATTCTTGTTGACTTTTCATCAAATCATCGTTTGCCTTTCGCTAAAATTAGAATTAGTAAAATTTTATAAAATATTTTAAAATATCTGATTTATAAATATTTTCCTTACCTCTTCATACTCTTGATCCAATTTTTTCGCTCTTTCAATAATCAAATCGCGTCGTTTATTAGCTAACACGATTTCCTACACATATACATAAATCAAATCGTTTAATAATTTAGGAATTAAAAGGACTCCAAAATATATATGTATAGATAGGTAAGGTATTGAGTTTGCGTATTCATCATAGTAAAATTGTCAATTACAAAAATTGAATCAGTGATCCAATTTTAATCTACAGCATAATATTCAATATTGGATGTTTAAATAAAAAATATAAAAAATAAAAATAAAAAAATGATCTATATATTTCGAGGAGGTTCTAAATAAAGGTTAATAAATTTTGAATTTCATTTAAATTACTTCTATTGTAGGTGAATCATATCTTGTATGTCTTAACCAACTATTCCATTGTACTTAAAAAAAAAAAAAAAAAAATGAAAAAAAAAAATAGTTAATTTCACAAATCAAATTTAATTAATTCAATTCAAAATAATTCAATATTAGATAAAATCAAAATCAATAATTACCAGGTATTTCATTACTAAAAAAGTCAAAGATATCATCTTGTTTTCCTTTTATTTCAACCATTCTTTTCGTTCTACCATTAATTTTTCTAGTACTTTCATAATAATCATTACCTAAATGATCTGAACCCACATAAAATCTAGTACGCCATGGAAATCTTGCATGTTTCCAAGTTGTAATAAAACGAGAAAACAAAGACATTTTATTATATTATTAAAAGAAAGTTTTTTTAATTAAATAATTAGGAAAAAAAAAAAAAAATTTCATAGGTAAAATCGAATTAATTTGGATTGGTCTGATAATTTATTAGGTAAATACCTTAATAGTGATTAGATATAGTAATTAATGAAACCAAATAAAGAATAGAGCACGTTAATCATTACATATATATATTTGTAAATCTTAAAATTTTTTTTATTTATGTATTTGGTGTATTTGGACTAAAAAAACAAAAAAATTATTATTTTTTTTTTATCGAAAGAGGATTTTATTCAATTTTCATAAGAAATTCTTTACTGTACAACATTTTACTAATAAAATAATTTTGATATCAAAGTAAGAAAGAAAAAAAAACAAAAATAGTAATTAAAATATCTGTTGCTTATATTACAAAGTCCGAATTATTAATCAATGTTTATTGTCTGTTAAAATTGGTAAGACATCATATAATTTGTGTTTTAAATTTCATGTGAAAAAGAAAAGCAAGTAAAGCAAGTAAAAACTTGTTCGTTACGGAACAAACAAAAAAATCTTAAAATAAAGCCTCCTATTTACCTGCTAACCTTCATTAAATTCCTTCTTTTTTTTTGATCGATAATAGCAAATTTGAACAACAACAACATAATATCATATTGCTTTATGCTTAAAATGTCAGCCAAAAAATCACAAAATAACACTTCCATCATAACTTCTAACATAACTTCACTTAAAATTAATTCAAATGAATCCAAATATCTTAACAATGAAGTAGATGATAAAGTACAAAAAATACAAGAATCATCAAAACAGCAAGGTGATGATGATGAAGATCTTAGTGATTTGGCAAATGGAGGTTGGGAAGATGATTTCACAGATAATGAAGATGATGTGGAAAGTAGAAAAGAGTGGGAAACTTTAGAGTTCTTATGTAATATAAGCAAGACAAGTAAAAATGATCCTTATAAAGATGAAGATGATGATGATGATGATGATGATGATGAAGATGAAGATGAAGATGATGAAGATGATGAAGATGATGATGTTAAAAATGGAACTGATTCAAAAAGTGGTTCATCAATTATTGATAGCAATTCAGAGAAAGATGATGATGATTATAATGATGATTGTGATGATGGCTCTAATGGTAGTGCCGTTGAAAGAAATGGGTTGGAAAAGAATATAAAAGATAGTGAGAATAACAAGAATAACAAGATCAAAGATGTCCAAACTTTTTCAGATGAAATTGACCCTTTTGCTAAAAATATCAAACAACTTTTACCAATCCCTCAATCAAATATTGAAAATAGAAAGAAAAGGTTATCAGAGAATGATAATGAAATTGGTGTAGGCATTCCCTCTCAAAAAACTAAAAAACCAAAGGATGATAAACTTGGAAACAAAAAAAGTCCGTAAATAATGATCTGTTGGCCATATCTAATGTACATATAATTTTCTGATCTATCAGATTTATTTTATACTATATCTCTTATACCATAATAAATAATAAAGGGACTACTTATTCAAATTCGAAAAATTTGAAAATATGTCAAAAATTTTTGATTTTGTAATGTTTTTAAATAATAAATTGTTTTTAGTAACTGATGTAAAATAACTTTTACTTTATATAAAGAAATGAAAGATACAGTATTAATTTCTATTATTATCATACTATTATATAATAAAATTATTATTATATAATAAAATTTAGCCAAGATTTTGGATTTACTAATCCATATTTAGAATATAGTTTTTTCTTTAATTTGACTTTATTGTCTAGTTCATTTTTTTTAACTATTTATGCTTTACTTTATTATATATATATATTTTTATTAGTATATATTTTTAGTTTTTCAGCTAAAAACTTTTATTTTCAATACTATATAAAATTAGTACAATATTTTAAAAATAAGCAAAGAGTATTACCTGCAGAATCAAAAAATCTATTGATATATAATGGTAATATTGAGGCTGCTTATTTAAAAATAATTGATTTATATAAAGCTTATAGTAGTATTTTAAAAAGAATTTAAACTTATTAGTAGTTATAATGGATTAATTTAGCTAATTTTAATTAGGTATATCGATATTTAAATCATACTTCTGACCAAATGAGAATAATAAAGATCTGTTCTGACCTGTAGAACTTGATCATTATAAAAGTAATGATAGGGCACCTCTAAAATCATCAGCAAAATTAAGAAAACCAAGTAGGATTTTTAAAAACTACTAAATGAAATATTTCACCTTCTGAATAAACAAGAAGTACAAAAAGAATTAGAAAAATATTCAGAATGCAAAGTTATTATAAATTTATTAAAGTAATTAATTACAAATATGGTTCTTTTTAATGAAACTTAATTTAGAAAAACATTAAAAATATCAAAAATTCATATAAATCTTTAATTACATTACTCCTTCAAGACACTCAATCAACAATCATGCAATCTTATTCACAAAATAACTATATCAGCCTTTACTATTTATTTTACAATCAATACAAACTTCTATTGATTTTATATATTATTTCTTATAAATTTACCAATTTCATTTTCTAGTACTATACTGTATTATTCAAATTCTACAGTACTATCAAACAATTGTCAAAATTTATATTTTCTTTTTACTTGCATACCTTTTTAATTTTAACTTATTTGTCACATCTCATAATAGTAGTATAACTGCATCCAGTACTTTAAATTTCTCATGTTCTGATAATAGATAAGAAAGAAAGTAGACTTTATTATTATGTTTAAAGAATAGCAGAACCTTTAAATATTAATAAAATTAATAAAGTCTATTAAATAAGTTATCACTAATATTATACTACTTATTACATAATTTTTTATCATATTTTAGATTAAGAAAAAAATATTTTTGTCATATATAATCATGCATATTTTGACTAGATTAAGAAAGTAATACAAGAAGGGTCAAGAAAGGACCCAAACATTACTAAAACAACTCAAATCCTGTGTAACTAAATTTCAAAATGTGATATTTCATACCAATTATTAGAGATGCTAGGCAAAACTGAAATATTTAGTCATTTGACGAAATTGAAATAGTTTAAACATTTAAAATTAAAAGACAAAATGCCAAAATTCAATATTCCATAGTATTTTTATAGATTTTTCATAAATTTTCATGGATCTTTAATTATAATAATTACTTAAAAAAATAAATTTTTATAATATTTTTTAAAAAGAATTTATAAAACTATTATAAATATAATTAATTTTATATATTTTTATAATAAAACTATAATTTTATATAATTAAAATTAAAATTAAAAATTATTATTTATATAGTTTAGTTAATGACAAAACTGAAACTAGTTGGTGATGAAACTGAAATTTTTGGCAAAAAGAGTTTAGGCAGGCATTACTACCAATTATATATCATAATGTTCGTCTTGTTGAGACGAATCTAATAAGCCAAAGATCATTAAAATCCAATTACTGAATCCCAAAATAGCAAAATTTGAGACTAAAATCTACATATAACTTTATATATTTGGAACAGAAATTAATTATAAGGTATATACAAATTCAGATCTAAGTTTTTTTAATAATGTTCAGGTTGTAATACTATAAATATAAGTTGTAATTCAGTTGTAAATACTATACTATTGTGGATTTGTAGTTAACTAAAAGATGATAATTCTGATTTACAACTATTATAATTATTTGATTTTTAGACTTACAACTATTTATGGCAGGCTAATATAGATACATCATAGTATTTGTTATACAGGTGTCATATTACATCATAAAACATCACTTATTATAAGATATTTTTATAAATTTCCATAAATTCATTAAAAAATGTTATAAATACAAATACTTAATAAATAATTATAGTTATGAAGATACCTGATGAGGATGAGCAATTTGTCAAGAAAATTATACGAGATGTTTCAGATTCCTTACAGGTATGGTTTATATAAATTATACTACTTTTAAGCAAATAGCGCATTTAAAATTTTCTGGCGTTTCAGAAAATTGAAGGATAGTATTTGTATAATCAACATTGGACAAATTCTAAGAACCTTGAGGTTTCTCAAGAAACAAATGCAATTTCTATTGGCGAGATGGATTATACTCTTAGAGACACAGTCTCATCAATTTCCAGTTGTGATAAATGTGATGTAAAAGTCCAAGTAACAGATAATAGTTCACAACAAGACCAAAAAAGTTTTACAGAATCTTCAACAGAAACACAGGAATATTATCCTGTCAATAGAGAGTTGAGCTCATCTGGCACATTAAAGGCAAAACTTGCTTCATTCATTTTCAACAGAAACCCAGTTAGAATAACCACCTGGCAAAAATTGCCTGAAGATTTTGAGAGACAATACTCTCAAGACATTTTCTCACTTCTTGATATTGTAAAAAGTATTTATCCTCTTAACGAAACAAGTGGTGATGTCTTGGATGATTGTGAAATTGATGATTTTCTCAAAACTTATGGTATTTCTAATGTTCACCCAATCCTTGAAAGTGATGATAACTATGTCTTTTGGTTAGAAGACACTGCTGGTGTTGTCTATGTATGGTCTCGTATATCTTATAACATGTTTTATATAGGACATGACTTAAGAGAAGCTCTGGTGAACTTTCTTTTCCATCAGGATAAGATTTGTTATATTATGGAATACACTCATGAACATATACCAAAGGATAAATTCAAACAAGAAGCTTATGAATATGCAAAATCAATCAAACCTATTAAGTGGGTAGAAACTAATGAACCACTTAAGTTAAAAAGAGATGGAAAAGGGAAAGAAAAAAAGAAAGGAAAAAAGAAAGGAAAAAAGAAGAAAAATAAACATTAATGTCATGGAAATAATCTCTTTTTGGGCTTTTCTCTTTCGGAATAGAAATAAATGAGAACATATTATTATAATATAATTGCAATCAATTTCTAATCAATATTTGTTCAATCATCATTGTTACTCAACACAACTGATCGAGTTCACCAAACTGAATCTTTCTTTGCTTAAGATTCTGAATCAAGCTATCTCCAAGACAAAGAAAGTTAATTACCAACAATGCGTAGATAAAAAATATTGTACAATATCTTTATATACCTTCATCTTATGTATAATTTGCTTATTATAAAATATTTACAAATTAGTTTATGCATAAGTATATTTGAAATAATAAAAACATTGAAATTTAACTGCAAATTTATTTATGTAACATATTTACTCTGACTAACATTAAAAGTTAAACATTTATAATATATTTTAGCAGAGATGTTTTCACAATTAAATGAAATGATAATGTTATCAAAGAGGGAGGGAATACGCGGATTCTAAAGTGTCAAATTATTTTATTTCTATCACTATTGCTAATTACGAAATTCTCATCAATACTCTTTACTATATTAAAATTCCTAAATAAATTATCTCGCCCACATTTATGTCTATCTATATCACTCTCACTCATACAGACTATGAAAAAGGTTATTTCCCGTGAGAGAGCTTCTCCGAGATTAAGAAATTTCGAACCTACAGCGTAAATTTGGGAGATTAGCAACTGGGTTAAAAAAAATAAGATTTGTAATATTTCCAATTCATATTTGCCGATATACTTCATTTTCACAATATTCTTTTTTTTTTTAAAAAAAAAAAACTGTAACGCATCTTTATTAGGATTTATTATANACTTCATTTTCACAATATTCTTTTTTTTTTTAAAAAAAAAAAACTGTAACGCATCTTTATTAGGATTTATTATAAACTATCCCTACTTTAAGATACCTAGAGTTGCTCGTGCTATACGAAGCGCCCCTGTAACAGAGTTTAATACAAAAAAATCAAAAAAATAAATACAATACTTAACCTTTCAAACCTACCCTAAAAAATAAGAAAGTAAAAAAAAAAATATATTTTTATGACCTAACTAAAAAATCTAATTAACTAAAAGTAAATAAAACATATGTAGAAAATTTAAAAGAATTAATTTTCACAATTTTCCATTCCGCAAGAAATTGATTTTCTGTATGATACTGCGTAAAGTTTCAAAGAATTTGGCACATGAAAATAGATGCTTATGATGGAAAACTGCTCCTATAACACATTATCTTAGAAAAAATTTTCAAGAAAAAAAAAAAATTTAAAAAATTTAAAGAAACGTTTAATTTAAATATTTCTTATCAGTTATAGCCCTTTTCACTTTATAAAATTTATTGTTGGTCTTTTTTAATTAAAATAAGTGAATAAATTATTTATTATTTTAGAAATTTAACAATAAATCTTCGTGTTATTTACTGTATATAATTTAAAATACAATAAGATTAAGAAATAGAATAAAGTAAACTATAATAAAAAAGAATAATATATATTTCAAGTGAAAAAACACACAAATACAAAACAGTTGAGGTGAGAAGTAAGAACTGTGAAAAATATTGCTTTTTTCATCGATATATTTACTATTTTTAGATTAGTAGTACAAAGTCACGTTACTGAAATTTTTTTGGTGGGAATCTTATAATGCACATGATTCTTTTTACTAATTACTAATTGATGTTTTGATTTAATCGTCATTATGCCATTTATTTTCAATCTTAATATGTTAGTAAGATTGAAATTCTATACTAAATTTCAATCTCAATCTCAATCACGTTTTTTGTGAAGACCCCCATTATTATCTTTATTATGTATTGAAAAAGAAATGTGATTTTAACGCCAGACCGGAAAAACATGAACCAGCCATATTACAGTATAAGAATATCAACTTTTACCTGAATAGAAAACACACATGTTTGAAAATAAAAAACTAATTACTATTAAAAACGGTTTATTTTCGGAACCATCGGTATCACTTGCATTACAGAAGGATATGCCTAAGGAAAAAATCCCGAATCATCATTTTCTTCGGATATAAAAATGGAGTCGTGTATTTCAGACTCGACCTGGAAAAGATTTTCACATTAGCAATTATTCAGTCTTTTGATTGCTATGAATAGTCAGAACATCATTTCTCGTCATCCGCTTCGTTGGAACCCCGTTCATTGCTTGATTTCTGCTGTTTCTTGGCTGAGTTGTCCTTTTTTTGCAAGGACAATTTTTTTTCGGAGGGGCTTTTAAAGAAATTATCTACCTCGTCACTTTCATCCTAACATTGAAGTACAAAAATTAGTTCTTTTGGTTCTAACATTCTAGAAAAGATGCAAGTATATACGTTTTCTTATAACCACTAATAACATTTACCTTAGGTTTGTTTTGTTCGAAGATAAATTTTGATACTCTTCATTAGTGTTTGGAATCGAATATATTCGAATATACTCGAGTATTCATTTAAATTTATAAAGTGTATTCAAATAATAATCGAATAAGTTATTCGAATATTATCTGAATATTATTCGAATAATATTTTACGTTATTCGAATAAAATTTTTACATTATTCGAATAATAACAACAAATTTATCCAAATAATTATATAGTTTATTCAAATAAATTAAATAAATTAATATGTAAACTAAAATTTTACAATATTTATTATTTGTAGTAATTATTTATTTATTAATTATTTACAATACAAAAATTAAAATTCAGGTGGAGGAAAAATACTACCTAATACATTTATATTTCGCTTTAAAAAAAGCATTTGTTCAACTAAATTAGGATCAATATTTATTCGCTTATTAGTAATGTTATTACCAACGTCCGAAAAAAGTCGTTCTGAAGGAACAGATGTTGCACAAATACCCAAATATTTACGTGCAATTGAAGCCAAAATTGGGAACTTTTTTTCATGTAATTTCCACCACTCAAGAGGGTCTGTTTCTTTGCCTTCTTCATTTATTTCAAGATATTTATCAATTTCTTCTTTACTACCTGCGGGTTCATTAGGGCATGCATAAATCATATCTAAAATTGATTTTCGAACCCTATGCTGTTCATTAAGATTAGTAGGTTCCACGGTTGATGTCATATGATTTGTATCATGTGGAATATCATATTCGGGTTGGACATTTTCGTACAAATTTCTAAGATTTTCAATTACTTCATACCTTGCCCTTTGCTTCACAAATCGAAGTTTTTTAAAAAGCGGATCAAGAAGACATGCCAACATTCCAACTTTATGGATGTCCTTCCAATAACTAAACATTGAGCTATAAAGAATCTTTTGAATATTCAACAATACGTCCTTTGTTTGCATAGGTTCAGTAATATTAATTTTTGTTCTGCCACGACCTGTTCCTGAAGTTAGATCAACAACTTCTATTTCTACTTCATTCTCATCATCAGCAATGGTAACTTCTGCATTATCTAAAATAGTAATTTCTTCATCAGAGTGATCAGATAAATTATCCGTTAAATTATATTGAAAATCCAACTCAAAGTTTGATGATGGTTGAGTTCCAGGTTTTATTGAAGAAATTAAAGCTGCAATTGCTGGATACATCAATGAAATTGTACAATATTTCGCACCACTTAGTAAACTTGTAACATCTTAAAATATAGATAAAAGATTAAGTAAATCTTCTATTAATTTCCACTCGTCATCAGAAAGCATAATTTTTTCCAACTTCTCCCCATCTTTTTGAGCATCCTTGTTTAAATCTGATTTGAGTTAACCTGGCAAGAATTTTATAGCTCGTTTAAGCTCAATTAAACGTTCCCATGCATAAAATGTAGAATTCCAGCGAGTAGAAACATCTCCAATTACATGCTTTATTGAAGTATATCAGAGAAACTCTTGCGCAGTATGTAAACGTTCACGTTGATTTGGTAATATATTAAAAAAATAAATCAATATCTTTGCCCGAAGAACTAGCGCTCTTACTAAATTAAGACCCTTTCCAACTGTTAATTGCAAAGTGTGTGCTGTGCATGGAAGACGGGAAATAGATCTTTCCATCAATCGACCTGCTTTTTTTATGTTGCTTCCATTATCCGTTGTCATTGTTAATAGTTTAGACGTAATTTTCCAATCTGAAAAAAATTTATCAAGCAATTCCTTAATTACTTCACCAGTATGAGGATATTTTACTAGTTGCAATGCAAGTAAAGATTCACGTAAGGTCCAATCATGAGAAATCCAGCTACAAGTAACGCCAATATATCCGTGTCGTGCTTTGCTTATCCAGAAATCTGTAGTAATTGATGCTGCAATACAATCAACCTTTAAAAGTTCAAAAAGTTGTTCTTGGCTCCATTTAAACGCTTCTCCAATCATTACTTTAACAGATTTATCACAAGGAATTTCAAAATGTTCATCAAGCGAAAGAATAAATTTCCTAAAACTCTTACTTTGAAGTATATAAAATGGTTGATTATCATCAATTATAAATTCGGTAACATTCTGCCGAATTTGTTTATACTCTGCTTCACTTTTAGGCTTACGTTTTTTAATTGCTGTTCGTATATCAGGTTGGGACCGTACTTCTTTTAAGTGGGTTGCCTATATGCAAAAATAAAAACTGTATATAATTAAGAATCCAAAAATAAAAAAAAAATAATAAAATTAAATAAAAAAATTACTTCTTCCGCACTTCCTGGTTTATAAATTTTATGCTTTGTCGCTAAATGGTGAATAAGATTTGAAGTTGTTGACCCGTCATTATAATAATGACCACACTCTATCCCATCCTCCTTAATTACGTGACAAGTTGCTGAACTTGAGTTGTCTCCCTTCTTAAAATACTTCCACACGAAACTAGTTGGCTCTTTGGCAACTCTTTTTCTTTTTTTATTCGTTAGATTTATTTTTATGGCATTTCTAAAAGCAACTTCGTTATCATCAATATCGTCAATATCATCAATAAAGTAGCGGTCTTCAATATAAAGTTCTTGCTAATCAATAATAGTACTATCCACTCTA